AAAAATAACGGTCAGAAACGACAGTCAAAAATAAGGGTGAGAATTTCACTGATTTTCACCGCAAACAGAAATAAACAAAATAGTGAGCTACTCAATCATCCTGGCTATCAGGGTTAATTCAGGGGATATATGATTCCTTTTCATTCGACAGGAGGAGAAGGGGGAAAAAAGTATCAGTTGAGAAGAGTTTTTCCGCCTTTAGGATGAGGCAGGATCATATAAGGAGTTATTCAGGATGTATAGGATGAACAAAGGAGGGAAATATATCTCAAGGCGGTAATAGGGGGGTATAAGGTCCAGATATACGACTCGAGGAGGTAATAGGGAAGAATAAGGTCCAGATATTCGACTCGAGGAGGTAATAGGGGGGAATAAGGTCCGGATATTCGACTCGGGAACTCCTCTCTTCATGACTCCGAGTCAATTTATCTCATCTTGGTCTCAAGTTTTTCGGGTTTTTTAATTTCAAATCTCGGTTTTTGTCTCGGTTTGTCTCGTCTCAGTTTTCTACATATAAAAAACGCGAAAAACTGAAAACCGAGATGAGATAAATTGACTTGGAGTGATCACGAGAGGAGTCGATACTGCGTATTTCGAGACTGAGACGGGACCAAAAATTTCTGTTTATTGAGACCGAGATAATCCCTCCAAGGTATTGTCTCGTGATGTCTCGTAAAGTCTCTCGCGGTATCACTAATTCTATTGCAATGTTTTTCTTTTGCAATCTATTCTGCCATGCTTGACTTACACTTATATATAAGTATTTTTGCCAAATATCCATTTGCTTGAGAGAAGTATTTATTTTTTCAACACAGTATTTCTCCATTCGAGCGAGTCATCTCCAGGCAATTCTCATTAGGTTTCAATTATGTTAATTATATTACTCTAGGAGATAATCATGTTAGTTATTAAGGGACTCCCTCAATAATTACCAACATTAGAAAATTAATCGAAATTCTTCGCTCTAGAAAATAAGAAATTTGGGAAAAATGGCATTGAAAATTTTTTCCAAGTCTTAGACAAATATTGTTTAAAAGTAATGATCAAAATGGGGATTAATTTTAAACCAAAATATACTTAATTTTAAGAAAAATATTTTCTAAAATTTAGAAAATTTCTTCAAGTTTTGACGGGGGGGAGGGGTTGCGAATTGAGAATTCACAACCAAAAAATGTTGGACATTCGGTAAGGATCGAAGGGTTTTGTAAGATAACACTCGGAATTATTATATATCGTATTAGAATTTATTCAGAGCAAACGAAACTTTGATTTACACCATGAGAGCTGGAACGAGAGTGTGCTCCCGCGACAATGGTATTAATCCTCCGATCGAGGATGTCCGAATTATTACGAATAGTCGCGAGGTGACGGAATAAGGTATTCGGCTGCTAAGGTGAGCTCGAATACAATAGATTGAAATAATGTGAAATAAATATAAGTAGCTTCGCTACAAAAAAATTAAGTCGATTAGTTTTTCAAAAATATCTCCGAAACTAAGGGAGATAGCGAATTTTTACTGAAAATTCGGGGCGGGGAGTGGGGGCGGAGGGAAGTTTTATTGAATTCTCCATGTACAACCCTTCCCCTGCCAATTTTTCAGTAAAAATTTGCCATCTCCAGTAGTTTCGGAGATATCTTTGAAAAACGTTCCGACTCAATTTTTTTGGTTGTGAATTCTCAGTGCACACCCCCTTACCCCCCAATTTTTCAATAAAAATTCGCTATCTCCGTTAGTTTTGGAGATATTCTTGAAAAACTCACAGATTCAATTTTTTTCGTTGCGAATTCTCAATTCGCAATCACACCCCGCCCCCTCGCGGAGCGTGCGTAAAATGTCACTTTACACACAGTGTAATGAAAAATTCTATTGGAAATTGTTTCGCGCGTTGACGATTTTTATTGAAAATCTCGCAGTCTTTTCGATAGACTTTGGAGGCTATTTTATGGCGAGAGGCCTGTAGGTATTGATTTGTCTATAAAAATTCTTGGACATATTCTTTTATGGTTTCTCCGCATTATTATTCTGCCTTCATTTCTCATATGAAGAAAATTTGCAGTGGAATTCAATAATGAATTTGCCAGGAATTTCTGCTGAATTTTTTGCACGTTCCAGAAAACTCTCGGCGGATAATTCTTCTAGTGCTCGTGGGTGCCAGAGATTTTTGAAGCTCAAAGAAAAAATCGTTTCAAGAGGTTTCGTAATTTTCACTAAACAGACAACAAGTGCGCGCTATTTTTTATTTTCTTTGTATTGTTTATTTTTAACGGGGAAAGGAAAAAATGAAGTGAAGAAACCTGAGAATATTATTCATTTATTATGTTATATTATAGGAGGTGACAATGGCGAAAAAAATCATAGAAATGCCTAGCGAATTCGATAAAAAAATGTTTTCTAACAGTGTTGATTGCTTTTATTATTAACGAATTATGAATCAATTGATGTTAATACGGCTCGGGTATGATTATTTTCGGTGAGCGACCTTCCATCATATCTCGGAGATTCACGGCGATTTCCTGAAATGATAAAAACAGTCGAAGTTATTAAAAATTCAGTAGACAATATTTACAAATCTCAACATTTTTACGAGCATCATTTCTATCTATTTCCGCCCAAAATTAAGGAATCGAAAAAAATCCCACGGGCGAAAAAATTTAATAGAAAACCTATCGAATTCGTTAGAAAATTCTATTAAATTTCTATTGAACTGTTCTATTAGTTTTTGGCCGATTCTATTGAAATGCTCAATAGAAAATATTCAGTAGAAAAAGTCAATAGAGTTCAATTTTTCTATACAACTTATTCTATTGAGATATTTTCTGTAGAATTTTCTCGACTCAAATTTTCAAAATTTTTTCGTTTGATTTTCTTGATGAGAAGAAAATAAAAATAGAATGAAAAAAACTTAGAAAATATGAGTCGAGCAAATTCTATAGAAAATATATGAAAAGCATAAGTTATATAGAAAAATCGAATTCTGTTGACTTATTCTATTAACTGTTTTCTACTGAACATGTCAGTAGAATCAGCCAAAAACTAATAGAAAGTTTGATAGAAATTCAATAGAATTTGCTAACGAATTCAATAGGTTTTTCTATTAAATTTTTTCGTGCGCGCCCGATTACAAAATTTCCATTCGGAAGCAAAAAAGAGTCACTAGGGTTACGAGGGTCACAAGGGACAATAGAATTTCCTGTAGAATTCACTACGTTTTTCCATGAAATTTTTTCGTGCGTCTGTTCATCTTTTTTGTGATTTGATTGACCTTTCTCTCATAATTGTTTACCTCTTCTCTTTGCGACCTCAGCCGATCGATTACTGCTTCATTGAAGTTGGGATCGTTAGCTGGATCCTCAAGGTCGATCTCGTCGTCTCTCTCGCTCGGAGGGAATTCGGCGAGATATCCCTGTTTTATTGTCTCCAAGACCGAGGTTGAATATGCCGCTGGGTATTTCAAGTCTATCGCCGTGAATGAGTCAGTTCCCGCCGGAATCAACAGGGCCTTATCTAAATCACTACAAATCCCTTTCCTGAAATAGATCCCCAATTTAACTTTATCAAGCTCATGATCAAGATCAAAGTTGATCGATAAGAAATCTCGTTTCATCAATAAATTATGTTTTCAATAATTATCATCATTTTCCCATTGAAAAATAAAAAAATATTCCCAAGTTGTACACCCAACGAAAAAAAGTACTGATTCAAGTCGACGTTGGTTGGATTCTGACCGATTTTCGGTTTGACTCAAACCGAGTAACTCGGACTACGTCAATCCGAATACCAGCTCTGATATAAGTCGAAAAGTGGTTTATTTCAAGTAGAAACAGGTCAAGCCGACGTCGGTTTAAATCAAGTCGAAGAATCGGTTTGAATCAAACCGAAAAATCGGCTTGAATCAAACCGAAAAATAGGTTTGAAACAGACCGAAAAACGGAGTCATTCACGTCGAAATTCTGCCTGTTTCAGGTAGTAAATAGTGACTTGATTTTGGTCAATTTTTCGGTCTGATTCAAGTCGATTTTTCGGTCTGATTCACGTCGACTTTTCGGTCTGATTCAGACCGATTTGAGTCTATGGGGCTTCGTCAATGGGGAGGTGGTTTGACATGAGGGGATCTTTGTGTGGGAGGTGTATAGGGAGGGGAGGAGGTTGCACTAAATTCTGGATGTACAGCCCTCCCGTAGTGTACTTAGCTCGTCGATGAGTTTTTCAAAGATATCTCTAAAACTAAGGGAGATAGCGAATTTGTACTGAAAAATTGAGGCGGGGAGGGGGGTTGTGCCTTGAGGGTTCACAGTCAAAGATATTGAAAATTGAAAAACTAAATTTTACGGAGAGTTCAATCGTTCTTTTTATGAGAATTCGATTCGCGGAAAAAAATCATAAATACAGAGAAAAAAAAATGGGAATGATATATTGTTTTTTCTAGATTCTAGAATCTGCAATTTATAACCCGCATCCCGATAAAATATAGAAAAAAAATTGATTTTAGAGAAAAAATCAAGGAAATTGATCAATGAAAAGAGGATGGTTTTGAGGCAAAAATTATTTGAAATCTGTGTAATTAGAGAATGAAATTCTCCACATTAGTACCTTTGCAAAACGAAACTGAATACTAATAATAATAAATTTAAATGATCTCAGTAACGAAGCGGTAAAGGGTGATACGTCGTTTTTTCCGAAAATGAGTTATTGACGGAAAACGATTCTACATATTGTGTTACATATCCCCTATAAACAATTTAAGAAAAAAAAATTAACTGCAGTAGCCTCTGGTTAGTGGCATGTTGGTTAGTGTTCAACTTCCCCTCATATTTTTCTTCTCTGTTAGAGCGTTTTCCCCACTCTGCTACTACGCACGCGGTAGAGTAAACAGGCCGGTGTATTCTTCGTATTACCTACTATTGTCTTGCGATTCCGGTAAAGACGAGAAATAAAATATTCTGTACTGTCGGACTGACGAGTTCGTTCCCTTCGTACTTTGTATATTTAAAAAAGAATTTTTTTGGTCATGAATTCTCAAAGCACCCCCCTCCCTCTCCCCCCCATATATAAGATCACTTCCCCGATGTAAAATCTACATAAGACCACGATTTAGAACCCTAACCCGTTAACAAAATCTCCTTTTTACACCCGCGCGTAAAAACCGCTCGACATTGATGAAAACCTTTGATCAATTAACCCTAGACTGGTCACCATGCGAGGGAATTGCTGCAACACGTTGTTTTATTCACCTCGCCATCGACTGGTTGACCGGAAAAATTTGAAAAAAATTGAATTCGTCAATTGAAGTATCTGGAAAATTCTAGTATTTTTTTTTCAATATTGTATCCTTAATTCTGGGAGAAAAAAAATTATTTACAACAGGTGAACAATTTTTTCCCGTGTTAAGTGAAATTGCCTGTTGCGCGACGTTGTTGGGAACTCGCTAAACGCGCTCGGGAAGTGTAGAGTGGATTCGGCAACGCTGGGGCATAACACGGCGAGGCATGATCAGCATAACACTTGCAAAATTTAAATATGATTATAAAATCATTGTAAAATGTCCGGAATATTCGATCATTGGGTTTATTGGGTTTATTTCCCAATATTATTAAAAGACGCTATTTGAAAATATTCAGTATTTTTTTCAACGTTTTTTTTGGCTGTATGATCATAATTATCGGAAACTCCAGGGCTATGTAAAATTGAATGGCAATTGAAGAACATCAAAATAACAACAAACAGTCAAGATCACGTTCGAAAGATAATACACGCGGGCCTTAAAGCCGCAGCTTGAATTGAAAACTGAAAAAAACAAGTGGGAAATTGCTCTTGTATTATATGTAGTATAGTTGTTTTTGCATAAAAAATCCAAAATTTTTGAAAGTTTTCGAATAAATCAAAATAATGATTATTGCTATCGCCTTTATCTGCGATTTCGGTCAAAGGGACATCCAAACAAATTTTTTAAGCCATCATTTAATCAATTTAGAACATTTTTTTAGCTGTCGTGGAACAACCAATTTTCCAAAAAATTCAAAAATTAAAAAAACTAATCGATGAATTAAATTTTAATTAATGGCGATCGATAGGGCGCAACACCTACACCGAGAGAAAAACAAACACGTTCCCAAGCAAGTTTTGTTTGGGCTAACAAAATCGGTAGATGAAAATTGCCAAAAAAGAATTTGTTTGGTTCGAATTTGAAACTCTCAAACAGGAATAATTGTTCTGCTTTTGACAGCAACGAAATATTTGGCTGAAGAGGCGAATAATTCACGCCAGACGGTGCCTTTTCAGGATGAAAATATCTCATATAGAGGAAAATTTATCAACAAATATTTTGCCCCTAAGTTCCAAGATTGTTATCATATCATTATTATTGTTTCATTTAAGGGTTCATTTTTCGTCATTTTTTTGATTATTAGACAGCCGAAACGAAAAACTACTATCCCTTTATACTAAATCTTTTTCCGACAAAAATTGTTCATTCCGGCGCACTCTTTGCATGTTTAGCACAAAAAATCCTTTTTTGATCATTTTCAAAAAACTATTTTCTCTGGCACAAGTAAGAATTGTTTGAGAACTTTGTCGTTTTTCTCTCAGTGTACATTTGGAGAAAAAAAGATTCAATTCCATTCATTCATCAGGGAACAATTGAAGAAAAACTTTACCACACACATACATTCATGCACACATACGTACGAACACGGTCTGAAAATTGTATGTTCGGAATTTTTGAATTACAAGATCTATGCGCGCGCTGATCTATTCATTTGTTGAAATGAAGAAATGGAAATCATTAAATTTCATTTTCTCATGAATACCTTATAAATATTGATAATGAATCAAAGAGAGTACGACTAATGATTGAAGTGAATAGCGAGGTAGAGTAAAAGAATCTATAAAGAATTTTTCATTTTCAATTAATTATCTTCAATTTTTTAAAATAATCGGTCTCCATAAAAGGACAGAATTTATTAATTTCACCGATAATATATATACATGTGAAATATATATATATTATATATATACATATATGACGTGAAAAAAAATTACCACTGAAGAATTTGAAATTACGTCACTGAAGAATTTGAAAATACCGCGTGTTTTTTTTTGTGAATAACTTCGTGTCACATATTGAATTCAGAATTAAGGATTAGCGGTCAGGCAGTTTCGAGATATTTCGATACACGGAGAGAAATGTTCAGTAAAAATTACGGAACTCTGACTTCACTCACCGATTACGGAATGGACTTAGAAAATTTAAGTGATGGTATCGTAATTTTTCACCGGAGATTCAGATACAAATTACGGAACGCTCCGAAAAAATTCCGTGACAGTTCCGTAAAATTTCCTACAACCACATTTCGCTCCGGAATTACGGAAAAGATACGTAATTTTTATTGAATATTTCTCTCCGTGTATAAAACAACTTCACGTTTCTTTCATCTTTAGTAAAATAGGATAATAAGTCGATATAACATAAAAAATCCGAAACTTAAATTTGAACGATTACAATGCTTCCATTCGGAAGTAAAAACCGTACAAGTTTCGTATTCTGCTCAAGTACTTACAGCGGATGATTACTAAATCCATGCCAACTAAGTAAATCCTTCATCTTCCTAACAAGTCCACTGTCCTTGGACGAATAATACTGAAGATCAGCCCCAAGATTACAGGCAACTGCCCTGAGAGTTTTCCCAATCATCTGCTTCTTTCCCAAGTCATAATCCTTAAACTCATCGTACTTTCCCCCCACAATGCAGAGTTTCATCGGAAACGGATCAATCCGCTTCTCCGTACACTTGCGGAAATCGTTAATTCTCCGTTGCTTCATTTCCTCGATAATTTCATCAGTGAAACTCATTTTCATAGCGCTCCGAGCAGCTGCCAAACTCTCCTCCAGGGTTGACCATAGAACATCTGGTGATGCCAGGTCAAGGATCACCATGAGGGTCGTGTGATGGACCGAGTGTGTCAACGAAGCGCCAGTCATTGCAGCTGAGATTAGGGAGGATGCTAGGTGACCAACTTCCCACATGTGAACTACGTCTCGCATCTTTTCTTATGGAAAATCCAAAAATAAAGTCAGTAGGGGGGGAATGACAATATTTTTCGGAAAGTCACAATCGAAAAAATTTCGTGGAAAAATCCAATGAATTCGCTGGACGGAGAGAAATATTCAATAAAAATTACGTATCTTTTCCGTAATTCCGGTTCGCGAAGCGGGAGGAAAGTGTGTCCTTTCCGCCCGCCGTGGCGAAATAGTATATTTCGTAACGAGTGCAAAAAAGTGTTTTTTGGCGAGTGGGAGGTTTATATCACGAGCCGAAGGCCAGTGATATAATCGCATGAGCTAAAAAACATTTTTGCACGAGTTACGAACAATATTTTTCATCACAATGTGGCGGAAATTGGACTTTTAGGCACGCGGAGCGTGCCGAAAATTTCACTTTTCGTCACAGCGTGATGAAAAAGTCTTTTCGTCGTGATTTTTGGAGTTTTAGAGTAAATAAGGTTGCCACAGTGAGACTTTAAACAGAAATTTGGCTGTCTCTCCAGTTAAGGATATCCAAGGACTTTAGCTATTTTTTCTCCAGTGAAATACTTTTCTACTTTTGTATAGTCCTGGCCAGAAAAAAATGGTCGTGACTGGGTACCCCCACTCTCTAGACATTTGCTCCGACGCAACGTCCCCCACCACTCAGATCCAAGATTATTCTTTCCTGGCAACGATGATAGTCGAAAATCGAGCTTCCACTTAAGCCCCATTTGACCCTAAGTTTCCGGACATTTTGCAATGATTTTATTATCTAAACTTTGCAGATCTCAATTTGAATCTCGGTATTGAACCGTTAGAAAACCTTTGAAAAATTTTAATAAAAATGGGAATTCACTTTTGGATAAAGATTGATAAAATGAGTTAACAAGTGCAATTTTTGCAAATTATGAGTGTTTTCTACTAATAATTTATAAACAATCAATTTCCCACCAATTTATTTGTTCGGAATTGTAACAAATTTATTCATATTCTGAATTTCATCAGAAATCTAGTTCATGCTTAAAATAATTAGGTTTCCGGAAGTTTAAACAATTTTAATTATTTATTTGTAATCAAGGAATGTTAAAACAAATAATTCTATGCAAAATGTAATTTCAATAATACTCAATATTCATGATTTTTTCAAATTTTTCTCAAACAATTTAATTGACAAATTTGTTGAATGAAAATGGTTGAATCTATAGTGTGGTCTGTACCAAACTGTAAAATACTTGGATATCCTTAAATGAAATTAGTTCGATTTCCCGTCTCGATAAATTTAATGAAAATTTCGACGTTAATTAGTTGAACTGACCAAACTTTTGCCAGCTTTTCTTCCGAATGAGTAATCCATAGCGAGTGTCGGCTTAGGAGTCTCATCCTTCTCCAGAAATCTGTAGACCATCGTTGTTTTCCCCTGGGATAATCCATTCGTCAGTTAAAATATTTTTTTTATTCCGAATGGAAGAAGTTCATTCGGTCGAGCAGTTGGAATAAATAATTTTGAGGGATGACGTTTGAAAAACATGGAAAATTCAATAGAAATAAACTAATAGAACTTGATAGTTCTCTACAACTTATCCTATTGAGATATTGTTTTACAGAAATTACTTAGAATAAATCAGCTCTGATTCAAAAACTCAAACAAAACAAGTGGGACATTGCTCTTGTATTGTATATAATATTGTTATTTTTGCTAATAATTTAGCAATATGCTTCCGAATGGTTATTTTGCACATCATTTCCTTTTATCAAGTATAATTAACTGTTTATTTCATTTTATTAAATTGGATAAGATTTTCTTTTACTGAATGTTATCAGCATCATTATTTTTATTATCCCTTTTCTTCTATACAACCGATTGTCTTTTTTTCAGTTCTATTTCTTCCCTCAGTTCTTCAATAAAATGTTAATAGAAAAATTTTATTGACACATATTTGAATGAATTTGAAACCAGATTTGAAGGGACCATCAGAATGCTCACTTTCAGGGAAATTCATGAAAAATTCAAAATTTTCAACAATCATCATAAAAATCAAATTAGCCAATATAGCTATCGTAATCATCTTTTAACTTCGACTTAATGCCATTAAAACAAACATTTTAAGCTATGATTGAATTCGTTTGAAGCATGATATTCAAAGATATCACCAAAATTCTGATTTTCAAAAAATACAAAATTTTTGAAAATTTTCGAATAAATCAAAGTAACGATTATTGCTATCGCCTTCATCTTCGAACTCGGTCAAAGGGACATGTAAACAGATTTTTAAGCCATTATTCAATCAATTCAGAACATTTTTTTAGTTATCGTGGGACAACCGATTTTCGAAAAAATTAAAAAATTAAAACAACTAATCGATGAATTAAATTTTAATTAATGGCGATCGATAGGGCTTAACAATACCTACATTTGAAAAAAAAGAATGAATTCCATCCATTCATTAGCGAACAATTGACGAAAAACTTTACCACACACATACGTACGGACACGGTCTAAAAATTGCATTTTCGAACTTTTTAGATCACAATGGGTCGATGTAGGGGAGGATGGGGTAAAATGGGCACTTTGGACTTTTTTTAAATTACTCATAACTCAGAGACAAATTTATCAATTGAGCTCAGTTTAGGCCCATTACAAAGGGAAAGAAATGTTCGTTGCAGTGAAAGAAAAATTATTGAATTTCATCAACATTTCACGCTGTCATTAACGTTTTTAAAAAAGTCAAGTGTCCATTTTACCCCAACCTCCCCTAACACAAAAAATCCAAAACTTAAATTTGAACGATTATAGGGGAGGTTGGGGTAAAACGGACACTTTGGACTTTTTTAAAAATGTTGATGAGGAGTTGACATGTTGATAAAATTGAATAATTTTTGTTCCAATACAAAAAACAATTCTTTCCCTTTGTGACGAGCCTAAACTGAGCTCAATTGATCAATTTGTTCCTGAGTTATGAATAATTAAAAAAAGTCTAGTTGCCGTTTTACCCCACCCACCCCTAATGCATCCATTCGGAAGCAAAAATGAGAAAAATTTATTGTAAAGATTTCTATAGACACAAATCTCAACAGAATAAGATTGATTTTTTCTATAGAATATTTTCCATTGAACGTTTTTCGACGTTCTATTAATTGAAATTCGCCGAGGGTGGCAGAAACCGGGACAGTGGCAGTTACTGGGATATTTACTGTATCCTTTTCACCAAGAAAATTTTATGACCAACAATTACATCCACCCAGCCCTAAATTGTTAGTTATTCCACTCTTCAATGAACTCACAACTCCTTTACTTCCAATAATAATGATGGAACGCTCGCGCGTGTCCTCCGCATCATTTTTTTTCCTTCTCTCCTCATCTATCGATATTTTCACTGCCGCATCCCTCATACTCCCCCTGAAAACTCGGAAAATATCCTCGCAATCAACTTATCGGTATTTTCCGTTGTTGTCACTTACGCACTGTCACTTTTCATTGTCGAAAATTCCTGAATTAGTGTCAGTCCACGGGAATTACCTCAGGTTATACTTTTGTATATATTTCACGTAGCCATGGAAACAATCCCAGGGGGACTGCGGTATTTTTCATTCGAAAACTTCACTCACGTCTCTTGAATTTTAATAACATCAGCAGAATATTCTCATACTTCTTTCGCTAGATTAAGGTGGAAACTAATGAAATTCACCAGCGAAAAATTTTAATTAATCCGCGTCAATTAGAATGTTCTCCATCAGCGAGTTTTTTCAAATTTTTAACAATATGAATTAATTAATTAAAAAGTCGATTGAAAAATGAGAATTAAGATTTTTTTAATGGAAATTTTACTAGTTTTTCGCCGATATCAATTCAACATTCTGCAGCTTCAGTAGGTGTCATTCTGACTAGAAATTTATCCGTTAGATTTATTGAATAGAAATTTATCGGTATCAATTTTTTCGCTTTTTTTCTTCTATTCTATTGAGGGTAGAAATTTTGACTGAAATTTTGAAATGGTCGTTGCCTTTACCTATCGTGCTGAGTTTACTACTTGAATGTTCGTTAAAAAAATTGGTTTTGTTTTCTTTACTTTATTTCATTATTTCATTGTTTTTTGTATTTTCTATTTCTAGTTTTTTATGTTTCAATTTTTATTATTGTATTCTCATATTTTCGTGAAAAGCTCTCACAAATCGAAAATCCACTTTTCGAGAAAGACTCAAGAAATTATTGATGAATTGCTGTTATTTTTGCCTATGAAACTACTGGTTATAAAATCATTTATATTTAAAAAGTTCTCAGGAATGAATTTTACAACGAAAAATGAGGTGTCCGAAAGTGCAAAGAATAATCGTTATTTACGCACTTATAAGAATTTAATCTTTGCAAAATAGAAAATGTTGTAGAGTGTAATGATGGTGACATGATTGAATGAAATATGGAATAATTCTATTGAGTGTTTGAAAATGAGCAAAAAATTATAAAATTCCGTTCAATTTCAAGGGAATGCTGTGGAATTGTCTATTGGGTTTTAGTATATTTTCGTATTTTACGCTTCCATTTTTGTTAGTATTTTTTCATATTTTCGTAAAATGCTCTCAAAAATTAAAAATATACTTTTCGAGCAAGATTCTGTTGCTGTCATTTTTTCCTGCAAATCTACTTGTAAAATCATTTATATTCAATACATTCCCAGGAATAAATTTCACGACAAAAAATAAGAATAATGTTTCTCAATATTATAAAAATCCAAATTAATTTCTGGTGATGAAAATTTGGTACTCGAAATTAAGACTCCAAAATTAAGGGTCACAAGGGTCAGAATAAGTGTCACGAGGGTCAGATTAAGGGTCATGAGAATCATAATAAGGGTCACGAGGGTCAGATTAAGGGTGATAAGGGTCAGAATAAAGGTCCAAATCAGGGTGAGAATGGTTGATTTCAAGGTCCAAATAAGGGTAATGAGGGTCACAAGAATCTGATTAAGAATCACAAGGGTCAGAATAAGAAAAAAATCAGAAGAATGTCTCTCTATATTATAAAAATCCAAATCGACTTCTGATGTTGGGAGTTTGGTACTCGAAATTAAGACTCCAAAATTAAGGGTCACAAAAGTCACAAGGGTCAAAATAATGGTCATGAGGGTCAGGATAAGGGTCATAAGGGTCAAAATACGGGTCACGAGGGTTAAAATAAGGGTCATGAGGGTAAGTATAAGGGTCATAGGGTCAGAATAAGGGTTCCGAGGATCAGATTAAGGGTCATGAGGGTCAGAATAAAGGTCACGAGGGTCAGATTAAGGGTCACAAGGGTCAGAATAAAGGTCCAAATCGAGGTCATAAGGGTCCAAAGAAGGGTCACAAGGATCTGATTAAGGCCAAGATCAAGATCACAAAGATCAGATTAAGGGTCACTAGGGTCAGAATAAGTACCATGGGGGTCATACGGGAGTATGTGGATCATATGGGGGTCATATGAGGATTGGCAAGCGAAGCGAGCTAGGGGCGCAGCCCCCTAGTAATGTATAAAATAATAATAATATCTGGAAGTTTCAACAATAATCATTATGTACTCATACGAATTTAAGTTTTGAAAAATAAAAGATGTTGCCAAATTTAATTAGGAAGATGCTGGAAAATGAACAAATGAATAAAAGCACAATTTGTTCAGATATGATTATAGTATAATTGCGATATACATTAGTATCTACATGTTCTTCTCGAAATAAATAAACAACATTTCGTATTCACCCGGCAATTTTGCACTCTCAATTGTCCCCAAAAAAAAGTAACAGTGCATGAATTTCCACACCTCAGTAACTCTCGAAGCTTATAGGAAAGAACATGTGTTTAATGCTCTCTAGCTGCTCCTCATTGCATAAACATTATGTACAAATGTCGGACTAGAACATTGGAATGCAATTTCTCGTAATTAATTGATTCATTTTGATAACTATCTACTCCTGATTTCGTAAACTGGTTAATTCATTCACTTTTTATTTCACATTCTTCCTTCTTTGCAGGTTTCCAAATCCACTCTTCCAATTTTATCTCTCATTTTTTCATTGAATAGAATAAAGAGATCAGACATGAAGTATTTCCAAATGTATCAGACTATTTTCGAGGGGTGAATTGAATTAATTCAGTGGTGAAAGGAGAAACAAGATGAATTCGAGAAGAACTTGCAGATTATTTTGCAAATATGATCGAGAAGAATAGGTTCAGAGAAACATATCAGAGATTTTTTCTATAAAATTCTATTGGCCCCCATGTAGGGACTGACATTATTTTCAAACCTATCGAGTTGAGAAATATTTGAAAAATAATCTTCTCAATTTTTTACATAATTTTTCTCTTTTCGAAATTTTACTGCGAGTCATTCCTCAATGATTAACTGAATTGAATAATTAATTGTCAATCAATCAGAATTAAGTGTCATATTGTGATGATTATTAAATATTATAGAATACTATATATTTTGGTAATTAATATTCAAACTCATATTTTTCTATTTTATGTGAAGTCTGTCTGAACTCTTGTTCTATTCGAACTAGATTAATTAATTACAAACGTAATAGCTCGCAATTGCACGATTGGATTAATATAAATTTGGCCAATGGAGCGTGGCAGTGTTTCCAGACGTTTAAAAATCCAAAATCATGCAGTAAACAATACAGTAATAGAAGATTGTTCCGGAAGAATTGAATTTGTAGATTATGTTCGTCCACGAAGAGACGAGGTCTAGAGGAATTTATCTAGACTTTCTTTTATTCTTGTTAATTTTCTTCAGACCCAATAGGTTCTCAGTCCTATTGGGTCGTGGGATCCCATAGATGAATAATTCAGGAGTGAATTGATGAAATAGGATTATTCCTTCAGCTTCGAGTCAGTTTTGGGGCAATTTCTGTGGGGCTTATTTGCTTTGCAAAAATTTTGTTATCTTCTGTGGATTTTAATATATTTTTTGAGAATGAAATGGAGTTAATTTATGCAAAGAAGATAGTGTCTAATTTCCAGAACTAACTTAGTAATTTTGAGGAACTCATTGTTTTAGATGGCACTGTAGTGAGAATAAGAAATTAGTTACTTGATTTCAGAGGAGGAATTCCTAAATTTCAGTATCAAAATCCGATTTATTCCAAGTGAGAAAAGCTCTGAAATAAAGAATAATGCAGTAGCGAAGTGGTAAAATGGTACAAGTTAATTTTGACTATTGGCCAGTTTTCAATGAATATCTCGGAATCTACGGGAGATAACAAAATTTCTGTTATAACCTTTTTCGTAGAGCCGATTGAGAGCTACAACAAATGTAATTACGATAATTTCGCAATCTCCCTTAGATTCAGAAATATTCCTCAAAAACTCAACTGGAAGATAAGCCGACTTGAACCGTTTTACCACTTCGCTACTGAATTGGGTTCATAAATTAAGAAAATTTGAAAGAGATAAAATTGTGAGATAATTCTGTTGCTTTGATTGGCTATATCCCCCTCTTGTTAAAGTAGAGGGCAAGTGCCGATTCTGGGATAATTGAACATTAATTAAATCAAGGTAACAGATGGTAGACTTTGAATAGCAAGGAATTTATGAACATAAGTAGATTGATTTCAAAGCAGAAAAAGTCATCAATTTAGAAATGAAAGTGTTCTTGAGAAATTGAATGTTCACAAGGTTCTTGGTTAAAGAATTTAAAAAAATTGAATTCCAGAATCAAGATTTTTTCTTAAAATAAGATAAAAACGATCTCAATTGAAGTACAATTATATTACGTGTAAGTGAAAGTTACTGAAAATACCAACGTTTGACAGAAAACGAGAAACTGAAATTCAGTACCGAAAAACTTATTTCAAGAACCAAGAACCATCAAATTAGAAACATTTGAAAAATGTTAAATTATGGCATAAAATTGAATAATAACCATTATTAAGAATGACTGAGAACTAGAACTTTATTCTCTGTCTTTTAGGGAAAATTTTCTCAAAATAATTAAAAATGTTCTTTATTTCCTTAAAAATGTCTGATATTTAAAGATTTTTACTGAAATCAAAAAAATTTTTTTTTTGGTGCATTTTATAAAAACCTGGTAAATATCTTTATGGAACTTCCCATATCTTCTTTATATTCTAAGATATTTATGACAGTTTCCCCTTGAATTGAGGTTGACCGCAGTTTTCAATGAAGCTTTGACCTCCAAGAGAGATAAAATTTTCATGAATTTGTCTCCTGCAAAAAAAGATTTCTCGAAAAATCTCCCTTAGATTTCAAGATATTCTCAAAAACTGATCTTCAACTGTGATTAACTCATCTAGTTCTACCATTTCACTCCTGAATTCAAATCAGTGAAAAGAACAGCTAATAACTATTCGTAAGAATTATTGAGAACTAGAACTTTTTGGTCTGATTTTTAGGAAAAATTTTCTCAAAATCAGTGAAAATGTCCTTTCTTTTCTTAAAAATGTCTGAAATTCGGAGATTTTTACTGAACACTGAATTGTCGGTTTCTGTGCATTTTATAAAAATCTGAAAAACTATTTTTATGGAAATTCCCTTATCTTCTTTATATTTCAAGATATTCATGAAACATTCCCCTTGAATTGAGGTTGACTGCAGTTCAACTGAACTGATCAATCAAACTTTGATTCCAAGAGAAATATAATTTTCACGAATTTGTCTCCTGCAAAGAAGATTTCTCCAAAAATCTCCCTATCTCTCCTCGATTTCGAGATATCGGGGATGAAAAATTTGAACTTTCTATTAGTTTTTGGCCGATTCTATTGAAATGTTCGGTAGAAAATATTCTATAGAAAAAGTCGAAAGAACCGATTTTTTTATACAAATTATTCTATTGAGATATTTCCTACAGAATTTCCTCGGCTCAATTTTTCTATTTTTTTGTTTCATTTTTTTGTTAAGAAGACAAGAAGAATAGAATGAAAAAAACCACAATTCAAATATTTGAGTCGAGAAAATTTTATAGAAAATATCTGAAGAGAATATATGTAGAAAAATCGAATTCGCTAGGTTTTTCTATGAAATTTTTTCGTGCATGATTCTCCAAAAACTGATTTCCAACTGTGATTAGCTCATCCAGTTCTACCATTTCACTCCTGAATTCAAATCACCCCATCCCAGAATCCAACTGCAGCATAATGAAATGGGCAACAACAACCCTATTTCAAAAATTTCGCTCGATTTTCTGGAGTCGCATTCGCCTTGATTCCGAAAAAATCCAATGAATCAATCAATATTACATCGATTACCAGTCGATGATGAACAAATGACGTTAGTCATCTCTTCCTGTGATGCCTCATAGCCTCTAGGAGACAGTAAACCACTCGTTCTGCATGTTATCTAGACCAAATGTCAGACATCCACTCGTCATTCAGCTCGTCCGCTGGTAGTACCTTCAGATTCCTCAGTGCTTGAAGGTAAAATGTTAACTCTGATGTCACTACACCGTGCTGTGGTCCCCCATTGTTCACTATGTTCATTTTAACCAATTGTTCCCTGAGTTTTTCTTTGAATGATACATTGACTGTTCGATAAAGTGCTTGGACTTCAACTGGTGGCAGAATTCCTGAGACTGCTTCGTGTAGTTTTGTTAAATGTCTAGAAATTAAAAAACATCAAGAGTTAAAACGGAAACAATAATTATGTGATAGCCATTGTTCGTGACACTAGTGCGTTTGTCATGACAATTACTAAAGGGTCTCGTAGGTAAGCTCTCAAATCAATCGAGAATTTTTTATATTGTTTCCGAATGTTATGTTATGGAGAAGATTTCAAGCGATTTTTTAAATTGTTTGGTAATTTTTGGCATCTGCGGTCATTAGCTCATTCTAAGTGATCCAAATGACTTCAATTTTTATCATTTGGACATAATAAATTCCTTCACTTCGAATCAGCTAATGACTGCAGAGGCCTAAAACTACAAAACAATTGTTTCTTAAATTTGTTGAAAATTTTGAATTTTTCTTGAATTTCCTTGAAAGTGAGCTTTCTGATGGTTTCTTCAATAGTGATATTTCAAATTCATTCAAGTATGTGTAAATAAATTTTTTCTATTAACATTTTATTAAAGGGCTGAGGGGAGAGATAGAACTGTAAACAAGACAATCGGTTGTATAGAAGAAAAGGGATAATAAGAATAATGATGCTGATAACATTCAACTAAGTTGAAAATCTGACAAAATTAGGTAAAAGGGAATCTTATTCAATTTGATAAAATGAAATAAACAATTAATTATACATGATAAAAGGAAATTATGTACAAAATAACTATTCGGAAACATATTGCTAATTTATTATCAAAAATAACTGTACTATATACAATACAAGAGCAATTTTTCACTTGTTTTACATTGAAACTGAAGTAATAAACTCATCAGCACGATAAACAAAGGCCCTGCGATTTTGAAATTTCAGTGCCGTCTCCCCTCAATGAAAACTCTCAAAAGAACTTTTTTAATTTCTCTGCACAAGAAATTGTCTCACATTTTTCTGCAAACCTCTTCATTCTGAAGATATTTAGGGAAGAATCTACGAGAGCCTTTGAAAAATCGAAATTAAATTTCTACGAATGGGTTTGAAATAATCACATGAATTCGACAATTTGAGCTCTGATACTCAAATTGTGTTGGTATTTTAAAATTGTTATCAATATAAGGATGAAAAGTTCTATCCATCAGTTGAACAAAAATAACAATTACTTTAGTGCAGTTTTGGATTTTCCCATGAGAATAAAGTAATTAGAAAGAAGAATTGAATTAAAATTGAGCTTCTTACCTCGAGATATTTCTAAATGACTGTGAAGGTACTGGAGGTCTTGCATCCCAGCTTGTGATTTGTCCCCCCACGAGATTATCCACAATCGTGAGAATTTTTCCCTCAATCTCCCTAATGTGTGCACGAACATCTCTCTCAACAGAATCGAGTAGAGCAACCCCTCCTGTTCCCCCTGATGAGCCTATTGCACTCCGATTCGCACTATGATTCGCTAATTCTGGAAAACAAAACCCAAAAATTTATATTAAGGCCCGCGTGTATTATCTTTCGAACGTGATCTTGATTGCTTTTTTTATTTTGATAATCTGAAATGTTCTCCAATTGCCATTCAGTTTTACATAGCTCTGGAGCCCTGGGGCCGAGTCTTTCTGTTACAAGGCATGTTACCGTTACTTGATGCGTTATTTGTCTTTTTCACTTTTTATTTCCACCAATTCCATTAGTAGTAAGCTTCCGAATGGATCCGTGGAAATTTCACGTTTTGATTGAAAAGCGGCAATTTTTATTAAAAAAGTTCCCTCAAAACGTTTGACCTTCTAAAATTGAGAATTAAATTTTGGTTTTATCCAGTGGGATAGACGTATCTACACGACCCCATTTTTAAGAAATGTTTCCATGTGGAAATCAATGATAGAACAACGAAATATCATTTTATACGAAAAACTTTTTTTACATCAACTACTCCATTTCAAAAAGTATTGAGTGGATTAAGGCCCGGGTGTACTATCTTTCGAATATTATCTGGAATTTTTTAAATTTTTCGTAATCCAAAATTGTCAGTTGAGTGTTACATCATGTAGAAATTCCCAAAAATTATGATAGAATGATTAAAAAAAATAGAAAAAATTCTGAACTTTTTCAAAGAGCGTTTTTAACTGAGATTCAGAATGAGTTGAAAGAAGTGGAAATTACAAATATCTGATTCGCTGTGGCAAATTATCTATTAGCTGTCATTTTCCATGGTGGATAACACAACACTAACTCCTCATGGGAAGTGACAGCTAGGTATCTCAATTTTCAAAACAGTGGTATGTAGTCATCTGCCATTTTTATGTGATAAAAGTGTGATTAAAAAATTCTCCAAAATATTACAACTTTTTTCAAAGAGCCTTTTCCGTAACACATGTCTCTGTGCCCTGTGGGAAAAGATTTACGAAGTCTTCCCCCTGTATGATATTGGGTGACAGGCCGCTTATTATTCAACTTATTCTGAATATAAATTAAAAATGCTCTTTGAAAAAATTGAGAATTTTTTCTACTTTTTTTTGATTATTCATTCATAATTTTTCAAAACTGCATGATGCAGGACTTAATTGACAATTTCAGATGACGAAAGATGAACAAAAACATCGAGATAACGTTCGAAAGATAGTAGACCCGGGTCTTAATTTGAAATTTTACTCGATGATACTAACTAGTCATCAACATTTTGGAACTTTACCACATCCTTCACACATGTAACGGAACGTCAAAGCAATTTTCAGACAAAAAAATGGAAAACGTCCAATATCTCGTAAACTTTGTAGGAACGGGTATATGTATTTTGAAAGAACTAGATAGAAGACATCAAGACGAATATTTTGAAAAAAAAACTTGAAATCGGGTAAATAATTTTTGAGGTACTGAACATATAGTTTTATACAAAAAATTGAATATCTTTAAAACTACTCATTGAATTTTGCCCATCTGAAATCCCAGCCTGTAGTATAGTAAGAGCTCGACTTCTACTAAATTTCAACTTCCTAGGGGAGACCGGGGCAAAGTGGAACGGTGGGGCAAAGTGGAACGGCGGGGCAAAGTGGAACGCGGGGCAAAGTGAAACGGTAGCAAATTTTGTTCTTGAGGGGTCAAACACGTTTAAGGGTCAAACAGGGAAGTAATCGGAAGGACCAACAGTTGTTGAGGGTCAAATAAAAAAAAACACTACGACTTGTAACCATATTTCGAGTAAGAAGTCTTAAATTACGAACCGTTGGGTTCTTGAGGGGGTACCAAGATGAAACGTGGGAATCTCCAGTTGATAAGAATATTGGAGCGACTCTTAGTATATTATGAAGTATTTAAAATAGTATGGGAAATTTTGAGGCTCAACCCTTTTTGCTCCTTACGTAGAGGTAAAACCTCGTGTTTCGAGGTTTTGGCTTTTAAATGCTCCTCGCACCACGATTTTCATTCCACTTGAACTATTTTTTTTCAATGTTCGTTAGATTCCATAGAATGAAACTATTTTTCTTTTCTTTTTTTTTTTCAATTCAGTAACGAAGCGGTAAAACCGGTTAAGGATATCCAAGTATCAATACAACAATATAGATTCAACAATTTTCAATCATCACATTTGTCAATTAAATTGCGTGACAAAAATTTGAAAAAAATCATGGATATTCAGCGTCATTCAAATTATAATTTTGTAGGGAATTATAATTTTTTTAAAAATTCCCTTCTTAGAAATAATTAATTGAAATTGTTTAAACTTTCAGATACCTTATTTTTTTAGGCATGGAATCGATTTCTGGTAAAATTCTGAATATGAATAAATTTTTTGCCTTTCCGAACAAATGATTTTATCGTGGAAAATTGATTTTTTATAAATTATTTTCAAAAAATGCTCGTAATTTTCAAAAATTTCAATTTGTCAATTGTTTTATGAATTCCTCCAAAATTAAACTTTCTAATTTTTTCTCACATTTTGAAAATATTTTCTGATGGTTCAATATCGAGATTCAAATTCAGACCTTCACATTTTAAATAATAATATCATTGCTAAATGTCTGGAAACTTAAGGTCAAATGGAGCTAAAATGAAAGCTCTGATATTCGACGACAAAAGGATAAAAGCATTTCACTGAATAAAAAATAGCCAAAGTACTTGGACATCCTTAAGTTGATTAGTCCTTCACCCGAGTTTTTGAGGAATATTGCAGAATCTAAGGAAAATAGCCAAATTTTTGCAATAACCTTTCTTGTAACTCGAATGACAATTATGGTACGAGGAGCATTTTGAAGCCACATACCTGGAAAACTATATTCTACCTCGACGTATGGGGCAAAAAGGGTTGTACCCAAAATTTTCGTTACTTTTTAGGTATCTTTTAATTTATACAGACTCACTCAACGACTATCCTTATCAACCGAGAACTTCCAAATTCCACCTGGGTTCGAAGTTTCACCCCGGCTTAAGGGGATATACACCACTGTTTGACCCTCAGAAAAGTTTGACCTTTCATCTTTTTTCGACTAATAAAGTTAAAAAAAAAGTCCAAAATTCGCTCTAAATTCGTTTTTGCTACCGTTTCACTTTGCCCCGCGTTCCACTTTGCCCCGGTCTCCCCTACCTCAATTTTTTCAAGCGTTCTCGTGTTCACATCAATGTCAATTACTGAGCGACTCGCAATATTAAGTTAGGCATATTATGGTGTGATTTCATAGATATTATCATAAAGAATATTTTAACGTCAAGAAACGTTCATTTGATGCAGTAGTTTTCGACATATTGAAAAAAGAAAATTTTTTCGGAATCGCTGTATTTCAAAAACTACTGGACCGATTGGGCTGAAATTTCGCCCAGAGGTGCTCCCAAACATTGCCAATTATGTGCCAAAATTTCAGATTTTTATCCATCACTTTAGACCTTTTTCGGTGAAAATTTATAAAAAAATTTCCAGAATTTTGTACGCACATACGGACGTACATAGACATTCTCCCAAAATATCATATCTCGACGTTTCATGCCTTTCCAAATCATTTTCAAGCAAAATTAGAGAATCGAAAAATTGTCCGATTACAAAGCTCCCATTCGAAAGCAAAAATAGCCAAAGTACTTGAATATCCTTAAATTTCGACGATTACAAAAATATCCTTCGAAAGCAAAACCAAAAGACCTGAACTCACCTTGAAAATGTGCTTTAACAAACGGCATGAGCCACAGCACAAGCTTCAGACTCCTCCCCGCAAGCACGAGAATCGTGCTAGTAATCGTCTTCAGCCCAGCGACGTGCATGGCCCCAGCCCCGAGGACAAGCTGACAGCACCTCGAGTTGTAGTGTCTCAACAGCTCCGCCAGTTGTCTCCCCACAGCACCCGAGAGTGCCTTCAGCTCCTCAGCAGTCTTGCAGTACTCGTGAATCATCTGGATGAGCATCAACGCCGTCCCCACGACCGCAAACTGCTCCTCTCCCACAAAAATACAGCTCCCCACTTCGCCCGCCCCTGCGGCCACCTCCTCGCCCACCGGAAACCTCCGATTCTCGAAGATAAAAGTGACAAGCCTCTGGAATTCCTTCGGCACTTCCGCCTGTTTCCAACGCTCAGACTCCAGCAGAAGCCCCAATTTGCTCTTTCTCTCGTTGTGAAACCGTTGCACAAATTTGCTGGCTTGCGCCTTGAAGGCAGACCTCAACGCCGTGCACTGCTTCCCACATATTCCCTCACAAGTCTCAGTGAATCCCTCAACCATTCCAGCAAGCTGACAAACCTGATTTAGGATAATTCAAAGCATATAAAGTTATATGACAGTCTGAAAAATGCACATTCAGTCGTTGAGTCAAATGGGGAGAAATAAATTTGAAATGCCCAAAAAAAGAATTATTCATTATTCATAATTTTTTATAGGGGAGAGTGAGGCAAAATGAAACAGCCGAAAAACGACTATTTGACGTAATTCAATAATTTTCTTTTTGCTATCAAATATCTGATAGAATCTGCGCAAAAAATAAACAGCATTTTAACGAGAATAATTCCTTTGAATTTTAATAGAATTCCAATGGAATTTTCTAGCGAATTCGCCAAAGTTTTCGATTGAATTTTTTCATACGTGCTATTTAATAATCACAGACAAAAAATGAATTCTTAAGGCTTAGCGTGATCTTGGTTATTTTGATAATCTGAAATGATCTCCAATTGCTATTCAGTTTTACATAGCCCTGGAGTCTCCAAAAATTATGATTGTACAATCAAAAAAACGTTGAAAGAAAGCTGAATATTTTCAAAGAGCGTTTTTGAATAATATTGGGAAATAAACTCAATAGGGAGAAAATTGCAAATTAATAATTTGATGTATCTAACAGCCGCCAGTTCGTTAGTTACCATGATAAATTATCCATTCACTATTTCCTCTCTATCGGACTTATTTCTTAATCTTTATTAAAAACGCTCTTTGAAAATGTTGTTTTTTTCCACTTTTTTGATTGTATCATAATTTTTAGGGACAATCGAATGGAAATTGTGGTATATTTTAGATTATGAAGATGGAAAAACAATCGAGATAACGTTCGAAAGATAATCCACCCGAGCCTTAGGTCGATTTTGACTATTCCCCAGTTTTCAATGAATATCCCGAAATCTGAGGGAGGTAGCAAAATTTTTGTCATAATCTTTTTTGCAGTCCTCAATTCACTCCACAAAAAAGGTTATAACAAAAATTTCGTTATCTTCCTTAGATTCAGAGACGTTCCTCGAAAACATAGCTAAGAGCTAAGTCGACTGAAACCGCTTTACCACTGCACAACTGAATGGTTTTTAGGCCAAATGACGCCCACCCGAATTCCCCCTCACCAATTCCATAAATCCAACAAACCTGAGCAGCAGTAGCCTTGTCACTCAGCCAGGACCCCTTCTCACTCCAGCCCTCCCTCTCCCCCTTCCCTTCCGGCGTCCTTTCCCTGTCAACCTGTCCCTTGTCAGCATCCCCCCCAGCTGCCAACAGATTCCCCAGCCTCTCGTGACAGTAATCACAGACCGACGTCATCATGTCAGACAATTTAGTAACGACCCTCGAGTGCTCTTCAGTGGTCAACCGCCTGTCCAAGATGAGATTGTCCTCAGCAGGCCCCACTGACAGATCCACCGTGTCCTTCATGACTTCGTAGACAGCTCTAACTCGATGCAACAAATACGTCAACGATTGTATAGTACTCTGGAGGAGGGCCAGCCTCTCAGGAAGGGACAGTCCCCCCACCTCGAGAGCTGCTGCCTGTTGATCACTGCAGCAGTCACTGGCAGCCAGTGCCTCGATCACCCTCTGCTTCGTGACAGCTCTGATTGTCGTTATGGCTTCCTCCTTGTAGGTGTCCACAAACTGAAAGTGCTTTTGCCGTAGGAGACCTGAGATTATCGAGACTAGTTTATCCCCATCGAGGACTGTTGGGTCAGGGGTCAGGGGACGATTCAGATCAGCTGTTGAGTATCTCTCGAACTCTGTGGAGAGCATTTTGTCGACTAGTCTCTCCATCTCTGTCAGCTGGGAGCTCAAGTGCCTGAAGCTTTGGATGCCATTGAGCTCCTGGTGGAGGATCTCCTGAGTCGTTGAGATCAGGTCCAGCGCTGCCACGTAGTCTGGGGTCGACAGCAGCAGCTGGATCATCGGTTGGCTCTGGTGGACTGTTGCCATCAGCTTCAGCTTCTCGTGGACGAGCAGGCGATTGCAACGAGATCGCTCCAGGCGCAGGATGTTCAGGGAGTCTTGGACCAGGGTCTTGTCGATCTGGTGGATGTTACTGCGGAGGGCTTTCAGGACTGTTATCGTCTGGGTCAGCTGCTCCATCAGGGCGTCGTGGGAGGTCATCGCTATGAAGAAGGCTTGGGACTTTGAGGCCACTTGCTCAGCGATTCTCACCTCGATGATGTCGAGGTAGTGACTCAGCTTCTCCTGGAGGGTCTTCACGTGGGTTACTATGTTGGTGGAGGGGTTCAGGAGGCCTGAGGTCGTGAAGGGGAAGACTGTGCTGAAGATCGAGGGCGTGGAGAGGTCCAGGGAGGGGGTCAGGAAGATCTTGGGGATGCTTCCTAGGTCGAACTGGGAGGAACGCTCTGGAAAGAATTTTTTTTGTCAGTTTTTGGGAGAATCAGTCGCAGGATATTTAAGGATATCCAAGTACTTTGGCTAGTTTTCTCCAGTGAAAGGATTTTCTAGTTTTGTAGGCGAACGTCAGAGCTTTCATTCGATCCTAAGTTTCCGGACATTTTAGAATGATTTTATTGTTCAAACTTTGTAGGTCTGAATTTGAATCTCGATATTGAGCCGTTAGAAAACATTTTAAGAATCTGAAAAAAATTGGAAAGCATATTTTTGGAGGAAGATTAATGAAATAATTAAAAAGTTGTTGTTTTTTAACATTACGAACATTTTATATAAATATTTTATAAACAATCAATTTTTCGTACACATTTATGCATGTTCAGAATTTTACCAAAAATACATTTCGTCATGCCTAAAAAACTAAGGTTTCCTAAAGTTTGAACAAATTCAATTATTTATTTATAAATAATGAATGGTTGAAAGAATAATAATTATGTGCAAAATGTAATTTGGATGACGCTGAATATTCATAATTTTTTCAAATTTTTCTCACGCAATTTACTTGATAAATTCCAGGATTGAAAATGGTTGAATTTATAGTGTAGTCTGTCCCAAACCGTAAAAGATATTTGGATATTCTTACGGATATGATTTTATTATTTAAACTTTGCAGGGCTAAATTTGAAAAAAAAATCTGAAAAAAAATTAGATAGTTTACTTTTGAAGGAAGATTGATAAAATAATTCAAAAAATACAATTTTTTAAAATTACGAACATTTTTTATAAACAATTTTTAAAGAATCAATTTCCCAACATGAAAATCATTTGTTGGGAATCATAACAAATTTATTCATGTTCAGAATTGGACCAGAAATGAATTTCATGCCTAAAAAAATTAGGTTTCCGAAAATTTCAATTAGTTATTTATAAACAACGAATGTTAAAAAAAATAATAATTCTGTGCATAATGTAATTTAATGATGCTGAATATTCATGATTTTTGTTTCAAATTTTGCTCATGCAATTTAATTGATAAATTTGATATTTGAAAATGGTTGAATCTATAGTGGCCTGTACCAAACTGTAAAAGATGCTTGGATATCTTTAAATGGAAGGGGACAAAATGTAAAGACACGAGACGTTATACAATAAATAAATTAACTTCGTTAAACTACTCGCCCCAAAACAAAAAAAAACAATAAAAAATAAAAAAAATTACCTAATGATTTTGATGATTTCTTCAAACTAGAAAAATTCGATGTGTCATTGCCGGGTGAATTAGGCCGTCCCCCACTGCCCCTCGAGTGTTTCCTATACCTCCTAACAATCTTCTGCATGTAACTATCAAAATGATGCATCGTGATATTGGGAAGATAAGGACTCTTTGGAATATCAACTTTTTCGATAAATGCATCGCCCCATGTTTTCGTGAGGAAGTTAGTCTGCTTCCCTTTACGTGGATCATTGAGTACAGCTGGTAGATTCTGCACAGCTGAGTAGACAGTCCACTGGGGGGGCAGTGAGTCATTAATTTGGCCATTGGTTTTACGCTGCTGTTGGACAGCAGCGTGCTTTGTTGCATGCATTATGTAATCCTTGTCGGAGACACCTTCCAAGGGTAATGATGAACACACGTCGTTGTACCCATAACGACAGACGTAGGAACCACCTTCGATTGTACAATGTTGCTCTCGTAAGTGTCTGAAATGACCAGGTCGACGTAAAAAATTGAATTGAATTGTTTCAGTACAACCACGGCCCCTATTAAATTATTTTCTAAATTGTGGCTGGGTAACTGCTAATGAATTTAAGCTACTTTGAATCAACTCATATATTATTATGGATTTTTGCGTAGATGTACCGGACTCCTCATTCGACATCTCCCTCCGTACACTGAGAGAAAAACGAACAAGCTCTCAAACAAGTCGTGTTTGGGCCAACGAATTTGTTAGTTGAGAATTTCCAAAAAAATAATTGTTTGGTTAAAATTTGCTAGAATCCTACTAAATTTCAACTTCCTATCTCAATTTTTGCTTCCGGATGGAAACATTGTAATCATAAATTTAAGTTTTGAATTTTTTGTGTTATTGAATTAGAGAGTCGAAAAATCGACCGCTTACAAAGCTTCCATTCGGAAGCAAAAAGGTTATCACGAAAATTTCGTGATCTCCCTTAGAGTCGGCGATATTCCTCGAAAACTCAGCTAAGGGCTAACTCAACTTAAACCATGTCACCCCCTCGCTACTGAAATGCATGTGTATTTCAACAATTGAATTGCCAAGCTACTCATCATTATTCAGTTCCTCTATTTCTACTTCTCAAATTACCTTCATAGACTCAGAATTCAACTGAATCCGAGGAAAGAATAAATTATGAATTATGAATGGAAAGAAAAAAAAAGAATTGAATTTTTAATCAGGTGCGAGAGGAGAATGGGAAATAGGGGAGGGTGAGGTAAAATGGACACTTTAGACTTTTTTAAAATTATTCATAACTCAGAAACAAATTTATCAATTAAGCTCAGTTTAGGCTGGCCACAAAGGGAAAGAATTGTTCTTTGTATTGAAAAACAAAAATATTGAATTTTATCAACATTTCAACCCCTCATTAACATTTAAAAAAAAGTCAAGTGTCCGTTTTACCCCAACCTCCCCTACTTTGATACCATAAATTGGATTTCATGGTTTCGATCAGTTTCAATGAAGAATTTTAGGTTAGGAGAAATTGTCAAGTGATTTTAGAACCCGAGATTGAAAATTCAATGACTCCCATATTTTTTTGAAGTGTAATCATGTGGCTAGTTATGCAGCTGTTTGACATATGTATGCAATGACCTACCTAACGAAATCCTGAATACGTTTGAAGGTTAGGTGTGAGCAATATTCACAGATAATAGTGGCGATTGTCTCCGGTGTTTTCACTATTTTTGCCATTTCTCAAAGGTCCTCTCCACAATTCACTTCTTCAACTCATTTGGTGAGAGAATTATTTTTCACTCAATTTACATTTTCGTAGTTGGGTGCGATAAGCACACGTATGCTCAGATTACCCGATGTGTGTACATGACTAAACATGTAAAACTAGGTGGGAAACGTCACCCGGGGTGCGTTGGAACCTCATGACCGACTGACAGTAATTATAGTAAGGTAGGGAAAAGGAGGCAAAATGAAACAGTCAAAAAACGACTGTCTGACGCAATTCAAGCAAAACAAAATTTTTTTTTCATTAAATTTTTTTTTCCATTCCTGAGAGTAGGGATGGGCGATGTTTGTCGATTAATCGAAAACATCGATTTTCCATGCCCAAACATCGATGTCTTTCATACGATGTTTTCAATGGCCGATTAATCGATTTTCGATGCTTTTTTCCAAACATCGATGTTTCTGACCGAACTAACAAAATTTTTCATTTTTTTGTCGAATAATAATGTTGATTGAGAATAAACAAAGCAATAATTTATCCGCAATCAGAAGTAATTATTTTCTACAGTATCTATAGGTGCGTTTCGCAATCGAAGTAGTCGCAGTAACAGTACTGCAACCCTATTCAATTTTGCTTGACTGCAGCTACGGTGTAGTTGATTCCGAAACGCACTCTTGTTATAAATGATATGTTGTAAATGATAAGTGAACAAGTCCAGTCGTCTATTGTTTTTTAAATTTAATTTTTTTTTTATATTTCATAATTATTGCAGCTAACGTCCAGCAACGGAAAACAAGAAATTTTTTCAAATAATCAAAAACCCCATTACGAGATTCAAAATTTAACTCTCCAGCTGTAGTTATTCAATTATATTTTTCAATAAAAACGAGAAGAAAAAAAAAATTATTGTTAAAAAATGTTGTTTTAAAATTTTTTTTGCACGCCATGTCGAGACTCCCTCTTTCATTCGGACCCAAAAGAACATTCACATTTTGTTTGAAATCTCTATTATGAAATTTGGTTTTGAACTCTGGTGTAAAAGTTGAAAAGCAGCGTTGTGACAACATTGTTCAGTGGGGTCTAGGAGTCTCCCCTAGTTCAAAAATCATTATCAATTATCATTATCAATTATCAATTATTAACGTTTCACCATCAATTATTAATTAATGATCAATATTTCTAATATTTATAAATGAAAAATTAATCATTTAGGGCTAAAATTCGAAATTGAAAAATAGAAAAAAAAATTCAAGCAAGTTCCCGATTATAATGAAGATTATACAATTTTGATGAATAATTTTTTCTTTGCTTTTCGAATATTACACTCAACGACTCATCGGGAGTTAATTTATACTACTTTAATTCAAAGAAATTTACGCATTGAACATGTTATTCTTGAATGTTATTCCTCAAATAATTTTTTTACACCAGCGAATTATTGTTAGCATCGCTGTAGAGATTGACACCAGTGACGGTTAATATCGGATTCGAGAAAAAATTTTCATGGTCCTGGGGAAATTGGGAATATTGTTGCTGATTTCTTTGAGTCTCTAGAGCTATCAATTTCTGTCGTTTCTCTTCCATGAGTCTATCCCGATGTTTGTGGATATAGTCGCAAACGTTTGGTAGACCCATTATCACACAAGCAGCGAGACCCGAACGGAAGAAGTTCATGTCAGTGGCTTCGTACCTACAGAAATGATTTCAATTCGTTTTTTAATGGGAGAAAAAAATTGAAAAACTGCAGAGGGAAAATAAAGAATTCACCATTCGTTGGTTCTTTCGTCGTAACATTCAACATGAAACATTGTACTCATACCGTTGTACCCTCCGATAGCAAAAATCATGTCGTCAATTACTGCAATGGCAAAATTACTCCTCGGATTGTACATTTCAGGAATATGCTGCCATCTGTTGGTACTGGGATCGTATTTTTCGCCACTTTTCTTTCTCGCGTTTCCGGCAAAACCTCCTTAATTAATTGAATTACATACATGAATCATCAAGATTAATCCTGGAGTGTTCACACCTCTCCGTATCTGGTCGCGTGATGAGCGCTGCGCCGTTCCGCGTATTTTACCATTTTGAGAAAAAAAAAAGTTAAAAAAAATGATGTATTTTTTATTAAACGAGTAACTTTGAACTTCCAACTAACAACTAATATCAGTATAAAACGAGAAAAGTGAAAACATTATTCAAAAATTGATTTCCATTCGGTGCGAAAATTTGACATTTAGAGGTTAAACACAGAGATTTTGTCCGAGTCGAATTTTTAAGGAATTTTAATTTTTGATCGGTGCTAAGATGCACAGAACAAAAATTGTTTAAATGTTTGACATGGTGGAAAGTAGGAATTCCAATTTTTTCAAATTTTTCTCAACAACGTCTCAGCGTAAAAAATAAAAATCAAGACAGAACGGCACTCGTGCCATGACGCGACCGATCGAGGGTTAATGGAGAGAAATCGGTTAGATTTAACTCTAGTTGGTCGCTATATAAGAACTTGTGATTGGTCACCTCCGTGGGGATTTCGCGCCGAGACACGCACAAAATTAGAATTTTTAATAGTATTAAAAATTTCTGAACATTATTGAAAAGATGTGGAAGTTTTCGATCGAATCGGCGACGAACGAAGAATTTTAAAATTTCTATAGAAATCCAATAGAATGGTGTAGCAAATTCGTTAGGGGGTTTCGCTCAATTTTCGTCGATTTCATTGAAAAAATTGCGCATCTTTTCTGCGTTTTTTTCCAATAGAAATATTGCAATCCCAACTCGAAAATTACCTATAGCATAAACATATCCGTGATAGGAAATACAAGAAAGTCCACTCCTGCGTGACCTCATCGACGCTATCATAGTCCACTGATTAGTGTCAGGATTATAAACTTCAGCTGTACTCAGACACTCGTGTCCATTGAACCCTCCCACGATGTAAATTTTATCTATCCCCAAAAAATCGAAAAAAAAACATTAAGTCCCGACAACAGTATCGAATACAATGATCAATACACGCACAAAAACAACAGAAAACACTAGTGAATTCGCTGGAAAATTCTATTAAATTTTTGCTGTGACTTCGCAGCTTTTCCACACATTTTCAATTCTATTCAATTTAAAAAAATAGAATAATATCAATAGAAATTATTCTACGGAAGGAATCAATGGAATTAGATATTTCTGTATTTTTCTCTCAGGGTATTTTCTATAGAAATTGCTGGACATAAATTTTCTGCCTTTTTTAGGCTGTTCTTTTCTCCTTATTAAAAAAATCAAACAAAATAGCCTGGGGAAATTCCACCGAGAAATTTCTATAGAAAATATATCAATAGCATGAATTGTATAAGAGCAGATCCAATTTTATTGATTTTCTCCATAAATATTCTTTAAATACGAATATTTTTTATTAAACATTTCTATTGAAAAAACCAGTGGAAAAGGTGTGGAATTTTCTATTGAATCATCAAAAAATTAATAGAGGTTTTAATCTAATAGAAATCCAATGAATTCCTAGAATGTCACGTACAAAAAAAATTCATAGGAAAACCTAGCAAATTCGAACTTTTCATTAGTTTTCGGCTGATCCTATTGAAAAACACCGCATCTGCGTGTTTTTTTCAATAGAAAGCAGAAGCGAAGTGGTAAAACGGTCTATGTCGACTTTGATTATTGACCAGTTTTCAGTGAATATCCCGGAATCTAAGGAAGATAGCAAAATTGTTGTTAGAAAGTTGTTTGAAATATAGTCATCATTTTATCAGTTCAGCGGGGAATTATGTCGGTAATCTTCGAAATCAATCGGAACCCTTCGGGTCAACAGTCAAGAGTCAACGAATCACCCGGAAAGGTAGTAGTACGACATAGTCAGAGTAATCGCTCGGCAGTTCAACAGCCATGTAATCGATTATCAACTCAGTTATTAGTTCAGTCCATCAAACGGACAGGATAGTGAATCAACAGCCGCTAAGTCGGGGTTGTAAACACAGTGCCAGAGGACAATACATCGAGTGTTGTGAGTGCTCGGGAGTGGTTGTGCATCATGGTAGCCCCTCGACGCTTGGGCCAGTGAGCCAAGCAGCAGGCGACCGCCAGGACTCATCGCAGTCGATAACATCGACTGCATCAACAAAATCTTAACAGTCGGTAACCCCCCAGCAGTCGGTAACCAATCGACTCTCAACAGAACTCAACACAGAAACTTATCATATCAGACAAGGACACGGGTACCGAGAAGAAAGACAAACACTCAACAGGATGAGAGTAACGAGAGAGTTACTCCTCCGATTGCAGAAAATAATCCAGATAATCAACAACAGGAGACTGAGGTGACAGATACCTCAGTAACAGAAGTCAAAGAGCCTCCAGTCAACACTGGAACGATCCCAAAGCAGACAGTCAACAAAACAGATGATCTCTCTCTCTCTCAAAGGACCCTCAACAAATCCAGTACGTCAACCAGAGACCTCCAGGTCTTCAAGAATTCAGGATGAGATAGCTAAAATTCAAGGTCAATACTTTAACAAAAATTCAACTAGAACTACACCAATGTGAAAGGAATATTTTTGACACCACACTGGAGGAGTTGGAGAGCCAGAAAGAGATCGTCGAAGGAGAGTGGACCGAATTCGTCTCTCTTCAGGAGAAATTGCTCGAGCACCTCACACTAAATAATGAGTACATCACTGAGAGACTGTATGAGCAAGCTGCGTCAACAAAAAGGCAATGCCTCAGAAGCATCGGTCAACTGAAGGGTCAGCTTGCAAGAACTAGAGAGGACATCACCAAAGGCAAGAAGAAGGGACAGACAAAGAATACAGTGACAGAAGAAGAAGACAGTGACAGTGATGAAGATTGGGGCAAGTCGAAAAAAGTTACTGGTGGAGCAAAAAAAGGAGGTGGTAAGGGCAAAGGTGGTTATACTCGAGCAATTACACTATCACCTGAAATGGCTGCAGTGGTTGGTGCTGACCAGATGGCTCGACATGAAGTTGTTAAAAAAGTGTGGAGTATCATCAAGGGGAGGAATCTTTATGACCCTAAAAATAAACAGTTTGCCATTTGTGATGAGGAACTCATGAAGGTTATTGGAGTAAAGCGTTTCAGAACCATTGCTATGATGAAATATCTCAAAAATCACTTTGTAGATTAATAGTACAAGGAACTCATAGTACTCATAGTACAAGGAACCAGGGGAAGTACGAGCAGACAGCGATTCAACAGACAACGAATGAAGTCAGTTTATTCACCATCTCATTGATCATGTCCAACAATAGAGCCAGCACATCAACAGCAGTAGTGAACTTCAACAATCAGAGATCATTGAGATAGAAGAGAACATCAGCAATCAGCAGAATAATCAACTCAAGTAGAGAAGAGTGGAGAGCAACTCAGCAGAATTACTCCAATCCAGTAAATCACAACGCCTTGATCTTCGGAAATCTGATGGAGAATCATCTCAGCGGGAAGAGTTTAATAATCCTTTCCAACCAACTGAAAAAAGGTACATCACCCAGACCAGACTCCAGAGCATCAATATCAGCAGAGAACCTCATTGAGCAGATAATCGATCATCTACTGAAATAATCTGTAGTTGATGAAGACCTCAAGCAGTTCGAATTGAATTTTGGAGAACTCCAAGGAAATTAAGAGCCTCAAGCAGCTGATAAGACTTATGGAATCTTGCGCAAGAGGCATCAACACAGTAAGACGTTCAACTCAGCATCAGCAGACATAAACATCTTCAAGTTCTTCAGACAATTCATTAACATCCCCACCACCAGTGGGACAGGGACAGCAAGCAGACATTCAACAAGAGACAAGCGAGTGAATTGCAATCAAGAGTTGTAATTCAACAGCAACCTCATTGATCATCCTCAGCATCGAAGTCCAGGGTCTTCAGAGATGACCGAGAGCCTCAACAATCAGCTAATCAATGAGAGAGCAGAGAATCAACCAACCAGAAGACCATCAACAGCAGAAGCTAAGGGGAAACCAGAGATTCCAGGACTGAGAGTTAAGTATCATTTTCCTATTATCATTATTATGGCAAGTGATACATCTCTCACCCTGTGTTTCTCCCCTTAGCAATCATCAATAACGAGCTCAACTTCGAATGAGGGAATTTACGCCTCTCTCGAGTCGTCAGAAGGCTCATCAGAAAGCTCAACAGAAGGTAGGACAGCACCAGCAGGTCGTCAAGTGCCCATCACGTGGAGTCACGACCTCAGAGAAACAGATAATCCATCAACTACACCTCCAAGGAAGGACGTTGGAGAGAAGGAGAATTGATGAAATCAATCTAGATCACAATAGCAGAGGGAGGCTAGGCAATCTTCAACCAGACGAATGGGCTGAAGAAGCAAAATTCAACACCCACACAGTTAAGAAACAGCCTCGCATGACAGCAAGAATTGGAATAAACCGATTCAAGAATCCTGGTCTAATCAACACTATCAGAGGGACTGACGACTAAGGCGGTTCATCTCGTCACGTCCAGACATCAAGCAGAAAAGGAACACGTTGGCGCCAACACAAAGCAATGATTGAAAGTACTAATACGTACAATCAATTGCAAAGATTGTTCAGCGAGGGTATTTCTAGTGCGCACATGGAAACCTTCAAACGAGCAACTGATAGAGCTTCACCAAATAGCAGGGACCCAGGAAAAATCATCAATTCAACATTCAACATAGAAGAAAAAGCAGAGCAACCAACGACCAAATGAGCAACGAGCAGAGAGTAAATGTGCACTGTATCATTCGATTTCAGTCAAAGGACATCAGCATCAGAGCTCAGAGAATCACCATTCAAAGACTCACATCAATTGCAATAAATATCAATATCAATATCATCATCCCTGATAATGAATGCCCCCGGGGTGTTTGAAACATAGTCAGCATTCTATCAGTTCAGCGGGGAATTAAGTCGGTAATCTTCGAAATCAATCGGAACCCTTCGGGTCAACAGTCAAGAGTCAGCGAATCACCCGGAAAGGTAGTAGTACGACATAGTCAGTCAGTTAGAGTAATCGCTCGGCAGTTTAACAGCCATGTAATAGATTATCAACTCAGTTATTAGTTCAGTCCATCCACTCAGTAGAAATGTTATAGAATTTCAAAATTAGAGTCAAATCAACGTAGATTTAGCTATTAACAAGTTAGTAGATTCTAAAGCTAATAGATTTAGAATTAACAAGTATTATAGTTTCTCAACGAATTAAGTACATCAGCAGTGAATTATCGAAACATTAGAGTAGGATCAACGGAAGGCGCGTGTCGACGCGTCTCTCAACGTGTACAGTTCCTCACCATTTGAGTTAGATTCAATCGTTACAGCAATTATCGATAGACATTTATCAAAGACATTTAATAGTGACTCAACAATAAATTATCAATTTAGGCAATATTCATTTGAGATCTCAACGAACTAAATTTGAGTAACAAGTGTATAAAGTGTATGCAGTATTTTACGACGTGGTTCGATCCCACAATTAAACCGTGATTTTATGAAACAGTGTTAGAATTCATTTTCCGGCCTCACCCCTAATCACACCCCCACAACCACCCTAAACGTAGCTCCTCACCAAACAAAAGTTTTTTGTAGCCCTCAATTTGCTTTACAAAAAAGATTATTACGAAAATTTCGTTATCTCTCTTAGATTCTGAGATATTCGTCAAAAACTCAGCTGAAACTTAAATCGACGTGAACCGTTTTACCGCCTCACTACTGAAATGTTCAAAAAATTCTATGGAAATAATCAAAAGACTTTGATTTCTCTATACAACTTATCCATTTGAGAAAATTTTTTCAATGAAAAAAAAAAAGAAAAATCGAGTGAAAAAAAAAGAGAAAATTAATGTCGAAGAATTCCTACAGGAAATGTACCAATAGGACAAGTTGCATAGAAATACGAAATTCTACCGATTTATTCTATAAAATAGTTTCTATTGGACAATTTCTATGAAAAATGTGTGCATTCAAGCTGCGGAATTCTTCAATGCAATTGGCCGAAAACTAATAGAATTTTCAATTGAATTTCAACCAAATTTTCGATCGAATTCGCTGGGTTTTTCTATGAAATTTTATCGTATATTTTTCCATGGCCCTTTATCATACCACAGAAAAAAACTTGAATTGAGTATATCTTATACCAGAAACAAGTATATGCATAAACCTGAATAAAAATATATTTTTCTTGATTCAAGTATATTATATTTATACTCCAATGGGGGATGGGTATTTCAATTCGAGGATAATTATTTCGTATCAGCCCGCGTTGTACCAAGCGCTCTCAAGTGTAATATAAGGGTCAGACACTAGATGGTGAGAATATAAGGGTCAAAAAGTGGAGGTTAAAAAATGAGGGTCAGAATATTAGAGTCAAAAACTGAGGGCCTGAATATAAAGGTGAAGGAATGAGGGTCAAAATATCAGGATTAAAAAATTGGGGTCAGAATATAAAAGTAAAATGACCCTGAAGTTTGCAGACAAAAATCTTCAGTAGAGCATATCTGATGAAGTAATTGAGCAATGAGAAAATTTCAAATTTCAATTTGTTGGGTGTAACGAAATCTAATCGTGATGGTGGCTGAATATGTAAATAAATGAATTAGGGGTTGATTTCTTCAAAATTTAACTATGGAAAACCATTGACACGGCATATCTCACTCCGGAATTATTTTATTGGAAAAAAAAACATGGTCACGATTTTCATTCTACGAAATTTTGACGANGTGGCTGAATATGTAAATAAATGAATTAGGGGTTGATTTCTTCAAAATTTAACTATGGAAAACCATTGACACGGCATATCTCACTCCGGAATTATTTTATTGGAAAAAAAAACATGGTCACGATTTTCATTCTACGAAATTTTGACGAGATTTTTGTCCTTTTTTTCTGGTCCTATCGGTTAACGTTAAATCCGCTGTAGAACACTAAATCTTTGATAAGCTCCATTATTCATCCAAATGATCCGATCGAAAAAAGAAAAAGCATCACGTTTGAAGAAAGTATAAATCTTCTTGTGATGTTGTTTGTTTTTTGTAGTAAATGTTTCATTAATGATATATGCAATGTTTTTCACGAGGGAAAACATCAACACAGGATATCTACAAAGAAGATACATAGATTGGGACAAAAAACAAATGAAACGTTGAATTACAATAAAAACTCAACGTGAAATTTTTTTTTTTCGATTTCTCTTCGATATTTCCATCAAAAATGATGGAATTACGAAAATAAATACGATCAACATCGGATATCTTCTACAAAAATGATTATATTCTTAAAAAATCGGCATTTATACATGTTGTTCTTGAAACCTCTCCCGTGAGTTTCTTCTTTTTAGGGCTACGCACGAGACGAGACTTTCGCCAGTCTCGTCTCGATCTCAGAAAATATCCAAATTCCCAGTATCGTCTCGGTCTCGGTTAAGAGAATATCGTCTCGGTCTCGTGAATGTAAAACTTAGAAAATAGGAAAAATCATTTTTCTTCAAAAAGTCACAAAGAGATGGTCAAACTTCATCAAAGGTCACAGAAGGAAGGTCAAATTTCACGGGGGTCACGAAAGTAACAAGGGGCTGGTCAAATTTTACGAGGGTCAAACATCACGAGAGTCTTTAGAGGATGGTTAAATTTTCCGAGGGTCAAACATCACGAGGGTCTCAACGGGATGGTCAAACATCACGCGAGTCACGTAAGTCACAAGGGAATGGCCAAACTTCACGAGGGACATGTGGGTCACAATGGAATGGTTAAATTTCACGAGAGTCAAAAATCATAAAGGTCACAAAGGGATGGTCAACCTTCATGGCCGTCACGAGAGTCACAAGGGTGTCACATTCAACACTCGTGAAATTTAGTCATTGCATTGTAAATTTTACGAGAAATTTAGTCTTAGAGAAATGTGAAGACAAAAAGAATGATAAAAATAATGTGCGAATGTTTGAGAAAGTCCGAGCATTTTCTCAAATTTTCTAGAAAATCGGAGTTTTTTCGACAACCAAGAAAGTTCCCCAAATTTCCAGTAAAACCGTAGTTTTCTCCAATTTTCCAGTTTTGGGAAAACTGGATAGTTTTCTTGAATTTTTTAGAAAATTGCAGGATTTTCTCGAATTTTCTAGAAAACCCGAGAATTTCCCTCAGGATATTCGACCCTCGTAAAATTTGACCATCCCCTCGTGATCCTCGTGATGTTTGACTCTCCTGGAGTGCAATCATCCTCTTGTGACCCTCGTAATCCTCGTGACCCTTGTGAAATTTGACCATCCTCTTGTGATCCTCGTGAAATTTGAGTATCTCCTCGTGACTCTTGTGATGTCTGAGTCTTGCGAAATTTGACCATCCCCTTATGACCCTTGTAATCGTCCCGATTCTTTACCCTTGTCAAATTTGACCCTCCCCTCATGATCTTCGTGATGCTTGATCCTCGTGAAATTTAACTATCACCTTGTAATCCTCGTAATCCTCGTGATTTTTGCGACCCTTATACAATTTGCCCATCCTCTTGTGACTAGAGTTTCTAGAGCTAGCTCTTTCTTCTCTGTGACATATTTCTTTGCCATTTCCTCGCAAAATACACTTTGTTAAACGATTAGATATAAGAAATGCAGCGTCATGACTATAGCATCGATTGTAGATCCATGAGAATAATAATTATAAGCAAAGTAACGAATATCACGTAACAATTGGGAGAGAATGTGAAGTGTGATTTTTTTTCCTTTCAACATCATTGTTCGTATAGTAGATATCCGGTATTAAACGTATTTATTTTCGTAATTCTACTATTTTTCATGGAAAGAATGAAGAGAAATTGAAAAAAAAAATTCACATTGAGGTTTTATTGCAATCCAACGTTTCATTTATTTTTTGTCCTAAACTACTTATCTTCCTCGTAGATATCCTCTGTTGATGTTTTCCCTCATGAAAAACATTGCATATATCATAAATGAAACATTCATTACAAAAAACAAGAAACATCACGAGAAGATTTATAATTTTTTCAAACGTGATGCTTCTTCTTTTTTCGATCGGATCATTTGGATGAATAATGAAGCTTGCCAAAGATTTAGTGGTCTACTGCGGATTTAACGTTGACCGATAAGACTAGAAAAAAAGGACAAAAATCACTTCGAGATTTCGTAGAATGAAAATTGTGACCATGTTTTTTTTCTAATAAAATAACTCCGAGGTGAGATATGCCGTGTCAATGGTTTTCCACAGTTGAATTTCGAAGAAATCAACCCGTAATTTATTTGTTCACATATTTAGCCACCATCACGATTAGATTTCGTCACGCCCGACAAATTGGAACTTGAAATTTTCTAATTGTTCAATTTCCTCACCAGATATGCTCTGTTGAAGATTTTTGTCTGCAAACTTCAGGGTCATAAAGTGAAAAATGTGGATGTCAGGCAATGAGGGTCATATAAGGGCTAAAAATGGTGATCAAGCATCATATATGACACCCACTTTTTTTACTTTTATATTCTGACCCTAATGTTTTGACTTTAATATTCTGACCCTCACTTTTTAACCCCCACTTTTTGACCCTTATATTCTGACACTTAGTGCCTGACCCTTACATTACACTTAAGAGGGCTTGCTACAACCCGGCCTGATACAAAAGAATCATCTTCGAATTGAAATACCCATCCCCCCCCTAAAATATACTTGAATCAAGTATAGTTTATACTGAATTCAGGTATATTTTTTTCCGTGTACGTGTAATTAATTTCAACGAAAATTTAACTGTTCAAAGTAGTAGCACTGGCATCAGATCTCTGTCGATTCATGGAGGCAATGAGTGACCACTGGTTCTCCTTGTAATTGTATCTCTCCGCGGTATTGAGCCTAAAGTGTCCATCGTACCCTCCCATTGCATAAATCACGTCATTAAGGACAGCAACACTGACGTAACACCTCCTGGCATTCATAGGGGCTACTTCCCTCCAGACTTTGGTAACAGCATTGAAGCAGCGACAGCTATTGAAGTAGCTTTTAGTATTTATGTTCGTTGCATTCTGTAGGCCACTGCTGAAGCCACCGATGACGTAAATATTGAAACCAATGGCTGCTAATCCGTGGTAGGCACGACCTCCGATTGGATCCATTTCGGCTAGCTTCAAGAGAGGAATTCAAACCCGTTTAATGAAAAACAAGTGGGGTGGGCAACCCCCTCCCCATGGGGAGAGAAAAGAATCGGAAGTAGTCTGGCGATCGCAAGACGTTTTCCGATGATTCCGACGAAGGGTGCCCCTTGCGTGAAAAAATCGGGAAAATTCCGATCTCACATCCATATCGATACAGAATTTTCGAAACGATCCAATGATACAGACTTCAAAAAATCCCGACAATTTTCAAAACTCTCCTCAATCAATTACAGTAAACTTCTAATGGTCTAATATGGACGTAACTGTGAGGAAGCGAATTAGGAGAGCGTAACTGTATCAGATGAAATTGATAGAAAAATGATTTTTCCTGCAAAAAAAACCTTTTTATTTCAACTTTAAAATGGTCCATTTAGCCCAAAACCTCCCTATTTCTATTTCCTGTAGTCTCGAGATAATTTGATTTCGACGCATAGAATAATTTCTTACATTTGGTAGTCATTTTACCGGTTTTCTTGAGAGTTTTACCATAGATTCGATTCTGTTGAAATGTAAAATTGACGGCGAAAAAAAATACATTTTCTTGTGCGCCGAAGGGAAAATCTCGGAGTTCACTTATCGTATGAACTCTGGACTGTTCACCCTACACTGAGGAAAAAAATAGCTTTGTCAAAAAGCTACGAAATTTACGTTTAGGTTTCTCTGTGTGTAAGTTTTTCAAGAAATTTCGTGCATCGCGTATGAAAAAATTCAATAGAAAACCCTGGCGAACTCGCTACACAATTTTACTGAATTTTTATTGATTTCTGGTTGACTAACTGAAATGTTCAATAGAAAATAGTCTATAAAAAAGTCAATATAATTAGATTTTTCTATACAATTTCTGTGACTCAAATTTTCCTTTTTTTCATTTTTTTTCATTTAATTTTTATTTCTTTTTTATGAAGAAAATCAAGCAAAAAACTTGGAATATTTCTACTGAGGAAAGTTAAGTCAAGTTAAGTTGCAATAGAATAAGTTGCATAGAAAAATCTAATTCTAATTCATTTACTATAGAATATTTTTTATCGAATATTTCAATCGAATTGGCCAAAAACTAATAGAAAGTTCAATAGAAATGCAATAGAATAGTCTGACGAATTCATTAGGATTTCGTATTAAATTTTTTCGTGCGTAGTAAATTGATTCAACACGACAAAGGAACTCTTCAGGGGAGTATATAACTTTTCGGCAGTCCCAATTTTTTCTCTCTAAATACTGATTTTTATGATCAGAAGTCATATTGGCGTTAAGCGTAAATTACGCTGAGCAAAACGTAATGTACACGGAGAGAAATTTTTTAGAAAAATTCTAGTGCGAGTACTGGAAAAAATCACAATCCACCGGCTGTGAAAAATTCTAGTGCTGCTAAGGTAAAATTTCTTGATATTTCTGGTAAAATTTCTGGGGATTTCTGTGAAATTTTCACAGAAATACGGCGAAAAATTCACGTTTTCCCCAATAAAATTTCTAGTGCCGGCACTGGAATTTTTTCCTGGCCCTCATTTTCCGCCTCTTTTCCCGTGCTAGAACTAGAATTTTTCTACAAAATTTCTCTCCGTGTACGTTTAGGTGTTTTTGTGTGTTCTGCGTCTTGAAACGAATGAAGAAAAAACAATAAAACCAACTGGAATCCAGCGATCAGCCCTAGTATCGTAAGTCTCAATAGCAGAAGTGGTTTTGTTAGCCCTCCATCCTCCAATAGTGAAGAGAATCTCATGGGGAACCCTGGGCCTGGCGATCTCGGGAGTAGCCAGTTCGCCATCCTTCTGGGTGATCATCTCCAGATCATAGAGGAACGTAAGTGTCTCAATGATAATCGGTCTGCATGTCTCCACACCTGCCACATAATGATGCTCCTTCACTCTCTCCAGAAAGTACTGGGTGTCCAACAACCCCAGCCTGATAGTCTTCATGAGCTCCACAATGTGCTGCCTCCTCTCCTCCGGCTTGTGATCTATCCACTTTATCACCAATTCCCACACGATCTCCTCACTCTTAACATTCAACTCATCAGCGCCCACTAATGGCAAAAGTTTGTCAATCGACAGTTCGAGGATCTCTTCATTCCTCTGGGCAACATCAATGAAGTTTCTCATTACGAATGTGTGCGCGTCACTCTCCAATTCACTGCAGAAGTGCTCTTTACCGAATCTCATTACGGATATGCAGTTCTCAGGGGTCAGGTTGTTTTTCAAATACGTGCAGCAGAGCTTTATTATGCCCATTATGCAGAGGTAGTTGGACGTTATCAGGAGGTCACATACGTTGTCGTGGGTCACTTCTAGGGAGCGCAGGTAGGCGTATTTCAGGATTAGTTCCATTATCTCGGAGGTGACACCCGGAAGGCGAACTTCCGTTTTCTCTTCGGTGTAGAAGGACGTGGTGAACAGAGTTCTGAATTTTTTTGAGAAGGACAATGCAACAATTCGTTAATTTTCTTTCAGTTTTTATGCACGCAGGGATTTTTTCATAGAAACACGCATAAAAAAATTAAGGATAGACTACAGTAGAGGCTTCGTCGAGGGGCTGGTCACTCCTCAATCGTGACTCAGTGATTTCCAGAATCAGATGATTTCCTGTGCTTTCCTGTTAATTTCTGTGATTTCGCGAATGATTTTTGTGATTTCTCAATCAACATTAGAAACCATGGTTTCGTTTGATTTCTTGTGATTTCCGTGATTTTTAGAAGATTCCAATGATTTCTTGATTTCCAGAAATAACAGGAGAAATCATGATTTCGGGACCAGAATGGGATATCTATCGATAATGGCAATTTTCTACATGACGTTACAATACATAAGGATGTCAAAAACTTCATAACGTCACATTTCGGGATTGGGTGATTTCGAACGCACCGATACCATAACAAAAATTGTAGAGTTGAAACTGCAAAATCAATTTCGATTTCACACTTATCGATGATTTCTAATGATCTCGGAAATAACTTGATTTCTGTATGATTTCTATTGATTTCCGATGATTGCCTGAAATCTTTAGAAATAATTACCGACAATGGAAATGACTTGATTTCCATTGATTTCTGGTGATTTCTTCCTTGATTTCCAGTCGAGTGGTGCAGTGATTTCCTAAGTGACTAGCCCTTCGGGCTTCGTCTAAGATACCTCTCTATAAGATACCTCGCGTTCCGAGCGCTCGAGGCCTACCCCCCACTCTCGGAACTTTTATCGACTCCCGAATGTTTATGTTCCGTGGGCTTCTTATAAGACAAGATCTATGCGCACGCTGATCTATTCATTTGTTGAAATGAAGAAATGGAATTCATTAAGTTTCATTTTCTCATGAATACCTTATAAATATTGATAATGAATCAAAGAGAATTCGACTAATGATTGAAGTGAATAGCGATGTAGAGTAAAAGAATCTATAAAGTATTTTTCATTTTCAATTAATTATCTTCAATTTGTTAAAATAATCGGTCTCCATAATAAAAGGACAGCATTTATTAATTTCACCGATGTGAAATATACACATGTGAAATATATATATATATATATGACGTGAAAAAAAATCTATCTCTGAAGAATTTGAAATTATGTCACTGAAGAATTTGAAAATGTCGCGTGTTTTTTTTGTGAATAACTTCGTGTCACATATTGATCAATCAGAATTAAGGATTAGCGGTCAGGCAGTTTCGAGATATTTCGATATAAAACAACTTCACGTTTCTTTCATCTTTAGTAAATAGGATACCTATATGGCCCCGGTCATTTTTCAACGGGAAGAGAGTAATTCTAAGGATCAAACGGTGTTGAGGGTCAAACGGGAGGGACGAAGGAATTGATCGTGAGGGTCTGCTGACCTTAAGGGGGGGGGTCACACTACTTTTTTCAAGTAATGGAAATATACATCGATTTTTTTTCACTTTTTATCGAAAAATCGTAATTCTTCGTCTGTGATTATTCTCGAATCCACCAACAATCCCCCAACATCAGCTGTCATTCTATCAGGGGGGGGGGGGTGATGTTTAGAGAGAAAAGGGAGCGCGGGCGATACAAATTCAAAACATTAAACACATATAAATTGATTAGTTATCAATATTCATTCAATAATAATAAAAATTTCATTGAATTCGGCCGCAACGACCGAGGTATGTTATTTGAAACCCGCTGATCCCTATTTTTCTCCTCTCAATGGGAGCGCGTAGTGGGGGCATAGGGGTTCCCGGAATTCCACTCTCCTACTGTCTCTAAGGTATCTTATACGAAGCCTCTACTGTACTATGAGTTTTAAAGTTCGTGCGCTATTTGAGTGAGATTTATCATGCATTGAACATCGATCATACATGTCTACGAACGAATAATTAGTGCAAAAAATTGATTGTTTATTGTTCGTTTCCTTGGCGGGCGCTTGAGGTGTTGAAAATAATCCTTCCGTTGAATTTTCTATTGAATTCACTATATTTTTATTTAAATTTTTTTCGTGCGTGAATTCTTGGAAATTTTTATGTGACGGACCCATTCAAATTTGTAGGAATTTCGTAATTCGAAAGTTACAAATTGATAAGAAAATCAATGGAAATGGTAAAGTTCAGTTCTATAATTTCATAACAACTAATAGAAATCGGGAACATTCAGACAAATATATTGGTAAATTTCTAATTACTTCAAAATTTAGCGCGATTGGCTACGGAATATTCATGTTTTGAATAAAAATTCACGTAAGTTGATGTGAAATTGAAGTAATTTTTGTCTATCTGCTACTCAAAAATATTGAATTCCATTGAATTTTCAGTAAAATTCGAAATTTCGTTATTTTTACGTATGAAAAAATTGAATAAAAAAACCAAGCGCTTTCTGTGATAAATTTCGATTGTTACTCCAGAGGAATTCTCGATTTAAAAAAAAAAATTCTACATAAAATGAGAAGAAAAATAGAGTGGAACAATTTAGAAAATTTATTTCGAAGAATCCCTATAGAAACAGTTTCAATAGAAAGAGTTGTGAAAGATGAAATTCTACCAATTTTTTCCATAAAATATTTTTTGTTGGACATTTCCTATAAAAACGTGCAGTAATGCAGCGGAATTCGTCGATTGAATCGGTCGAAAACTGTTAGAATTTTTCACAGAAGGTGAATTGAAATTCAATAAATTTTTTTATCGAATTCGCTAGGTTTTTCTTTGAAATTTTTTCGGGCGTCATTTCTTGGGAATTTTTTATCAAGTGACGGTTCCATAGAAATTTGGAGAAATTCCGTAATTCAAAATTCACAATTGGATGAAAAAATCAATGGGAATTGTAAACTTCAGTTCAATAATTCCATGAAAACTGAGAGTCCATGAGAGTTCAAAAAACTTAGAAAATTGTTTTCAAGGAATATAGAAAAGTTTTCCAAAAATTCTACTGATTTTTTCCGTAAAATATTTTCTATTAGACATTTCCTAAAAAAACGGGCAGTACAACTGCGGAATTCATCAATAGAATCAGTCGAAAACTCATAGAATTTTGGATAGAAGTTCAACTGAAATCCAATGGAATTTTCTATCGGCGAATTCGCTAGATTTTTCAATAAATTTTTTTCGTACGTGAAAAATTGATCAGAGAATTATTGTAATTCACACAAAAAGTCAATGAAGTGATTCTCTTATTCTCTAAATCGGAGATTGTGAGGATAATGATGACCTGAAATAACTGCTGCATGCTGATAATATGGCCCGATGAATCGAAAAGACTCCGCCGTCCTCGAGATGCACGACAGCGTCGCAGAATAAATTATTCTGTCTCAAATCATAAAGAGACTGCATAGCTTGGGTACTCATGCATCTTCCGCCGTACTCAACGACCATCCGTTCGTCATTATCACTGGTTCCCTCCCTGCTCTTTTCACTGGAATCCACCTCCATCTTACACTCAAGAAACAGCCCAATTTGAAGCCCTAAAGTCTCGAAATCTTGTATTTTTTATTTTTCATTTTCTCCTCTTCAATTTCTTCTCCTTTTTTGCTATAATTTTACAATCCTTCTGGGTTGAATATTTGGGTGAGGTTAAACTTGAGATTTGTTGGATACTTTTTGGTTAATGAGAGAATGAGGAGATAGGGTTGGATAGGTCGATGTAGTAACGCGCAGTAACAAAAGACAATAATTAATCAACTGGGGGAATCTTCGGGTACTAATGCATTTGGGTTGGGGTGGCGAGACGACATTGTGATATTTAAATGTCAATCATTGTGGGGACTATTTTGCAGGTCTTGTCGATAAACAAATGACGTTTATATTCCCCCAAAATAGAAAACCCAAGCGAATTTGATAGAAATTTCTATGGAACTTCTATTGAAATTTTTTTAGTTTTTTCTGATTCTACAAAATAATTCCACACTTTTACTGCGCGTTTTTCTACAACTTTTTATGCAACTTTTTCTATTTCCATAGAAATGACTCGACATGAATTTTCCAAGTTTTATCTCTAATTCCTTTCTCTTTTCATTATATAAATAAAAAAATGCAACAAATTGGAACAAGAAATTACTATAAAAATTCTATAGGAATTTCTATAGCAAATACCTCAATTAATTGAGGACAAGTTGTATAGAAAAGTTGAATCCTATCGGATTTTTGTATAGAATATTTTCGATTGAACTTCTCTCTTAAAAGGAACGTCCAGATACACAGCGAAATTCTTCAATAGAAATCCAATCAAATATTTCATCTTTGTGTACAACTGTTTCTATAGTGTCGTTTTTTATAGGAATGATTGAACATGAAATTTCAATATTTTCCGCTCTACTTTCCTTTTTCTTTTATTAAAAAATAGAAACAAACAAAAAAAAATTCATCTGAAGAATTTCTATGCAAAATATCTTCAATAGAATAAATTGAATAGAAAAAATCGATAGATTCCAATCTATTTTCCACTGAACTTCTAACAAAAATTCTATTAGCTACTAGTCGATTCTATTAAAGAATGTCACTACTTCACTACACGTTTTTTTTTATAGAAAATATCCAGTAGAAGGTGTTTTATAGAAAAAATCTGAAGCATTTCATCTTTGTATACAACTTTTTCTATAAAGACATCTTTCCGCCTATTTTTCTTCCTTTTCACTCAAAAAATTAAACAAAAAACTCTGAAAATTTGAACCGAGGAATTTGTGTAGAAAACATTTGAATGGAATAGGTGTACTGTTAGAAAAAAGTGAAATTTCATGGACGGTTGACTACTAATTTTCAGGACAGTGACACTGCATGCTTTATAGAGGAAAATCATGAAATTTCAGGTACCACCAAAAATTCAGTAAAATTTCAGAATTTGAAGCAGTATAGAGACGAGAATTCCTTAATTTTTTTGAATTTTCAATATAATATGAATATTCAGTGCCAAATTATACAGAATTTTTTATGAAATTCTGACCTTCATATTTCGCCAATTCTCATCAGATAACGAAAGTAGAAATAAAAAATAGAATAATAATGTATAATTGTCGCATGACTTCGTTTTCCGGGATTTATTTATTCCTTTGTGTGTGGAATATATAACAAAAAGTGCAGGTATGCATATCCACCATTATCCGCCATACCTAGATGATTGAAAATAGCGGGGTGGTGGGGTAAAGGGGGTGCTGGAACCTGCATCCGGTCCTTAAACATTCTTTAATAAAAAGCAGAAAAGCGGCTGAATTCTTCAATAGAATCGGCCAAAAACGACTACAAAATTGAATAAAAACCTAATTCACTAGGTTCATCGACGAAATTTTTGCGTACATGGTAAGGAACTTCATCCAAAATTTCTACAGCGTCGTAACCGCGTCAATGAGACACCCGACGAATCACAATCTCAAAAAATTCCCGTTCACAACAAAAATAAAATCTAAATCCAGTCCCATCTCATCACAATTTTTATTACAAAAATACATTCGCACATAAATAGATCACCGATAAGAAATCTCACGAAGTAGCAGTATCTGACTCAACAATACCACCTTTCCCCCCACCGCTGCTGTCCTCAGCACCAGCGGTAGAATTCCTTCTAGCAATAGCCAGAAAGAATGAATTAGCGTAGGCATCGCCATTCCACATGTTAACAAAAGTGCTCCATTTGTTGCTGACACTCTCCTGGGTCTCTTGAACGACACTGACCCCCAGACCCACGCTCTCCTCCTTCTTGTGTCCGTCGTCCTGCCCGCACAGTCTGAAAGTCCAGTGGACAACAGCGAATGTGGCGGCATTGGTCGGAAAAGCTCGAATGATCGTGGAGTTGAGGCCCCTGAAGAGGCAGGAGACGCCCTCGTCCCTGATGGACTTCTTCAGACAATCGATGCTCCCGAGGTACCTCTGATGAAGATCGGCCTGGAGTCTAGACTTTATCACATCAATTGGATAAGTGAAGACCCACGAGGCTGTCCCAGCAAGTCCACCAGCGATGAGCATCGTCACTGTAGACGTCGGAACCGTTGATTCTGTCCTCGTAAGTGACTCGTACGTCAAAAAGTAAATCCCATAACTCGGGGCTTCCCGCAGGGCCGTGATCCCGAGACCACGGAACACACCTGCCAGCCCTGCGCGCCTATAGATGTCTCTGAGACACTGAATCGGCCCGGAGTAGCGGTGGGAACCTGTCGATTGCAGTTGCATTCGGGTTTTCGCGAGTTCTAGGGGAGCTGCCACAGGAGACTGCGCCAGACCTGCTGCGGCACCTGCTAGGAAGTGGGTGGAGAGGTCGTCCGGGTTGGAGGAGTGACGCTGGGCCTCACCGTAGGCCCCGAAGATCAGGGCGTTTATGAAGGCCACTCCTGCCATTGGGGAGGTCATGCCGCGGTAGAAGCCGGTTATCTGGAAATGTTTCTATTTATTTGCATGGACAAAGTTTTCATAGAGACGCATAGATAATTTGATGGGCGTATTAGTCCATACGCAATACCCCCTCCCGGCGGAGGGGGTCACTAAGAGGTCGATGAAATTTTATTATTGGATTTCATGTTTTTAGGGGTGAGGAATCCGAATTTTTTGGTTATTTTTTCCTCCAGTTGCGCTCACTCTTCAACTCATATCTCGGGAACTATTAAGCCGCTTTCGATGAGTCGAAAATAATTTTATTCATAAGAAAAAGAAGAATAACTTTCATTCGAAATATTTTTCTGTATCTCCGTCGACTTTTGCGGAAAATCATTTGTTCACTGAAAATGGAGACTAATTTGTTCATAACAAATTATTACGCGACTGGAGGAAAAAATAATCAAAAAATTCAAATTCCTCACCCCCAAAAACATGAAATCCAAAGATAAAATTTCATCGACCTCTTATTCATTTTTTTACAGAAATACATTACACAATTTTTTACAGAAATATATTAATTTTTTACAGTTGAAAAAAATTTGAGTATAAAAAAATTTAGATGCAAATAGTATATATTACATTATATATACATATCTTCTATTGTATACATATATTTTTACAGAACTATATCTTTACTTATTACCGTAAGAAATTAATCTCTTTTTTTTAATAATTACTGTAAACAAAAGATTACAGTTCATAGAAAAATATACATATTACATTACTTGAGAAGCGGAATAAAGGCATCCAAAATCGTTAGACTGAATTTTTTTTAAGTGGATCATTCTAAGGGAATTCTATAGGATTTCTACTGAAAACTACGAGATTTTCGATGCTTTTTTTTTACAGAAAATGTCCAATAAAAACTATTTTACAGAAAAAACCAGCAGAATTTCCTCTTTCTGTCCACATTTTTCTATTGAGAATTTTTCTATTGAGATATTTTCTATAGGAATTATCCAGCATGAATTTTTTAAGTATTTTCAACTTGACTCTTCTTCTCTTTTCATTTAAAAAATCAATCAAAGAAACTTGGAAAAGTTGGGCCAAAGAATCTCTATAGAAAAAAATATCTCAATAGAATAAGTTGTATTGGAAAATCGAATTCTATTGATTTTTTCTATAGAAGAATATTTTCCATTGAACTTTTCTTTTCAGAGATAGGCGCAGATAAGCTGCGGCATTCTCCAATAGAATCCGCCAAAAACTAATGAAAAGTTCAATGGAAATCCAATAGAATTTACTAGCGAATTCGATAGAAATTTCTATTGACTTTATATTGAAAATTCTATTAGTTTTTGACGGATTCTATTGAAGAAGTCGGCAGCGACTGCAGCGTACTGCTCTTATTTTAGAAAATGCCCAATAGAAACTATTTCATAGAAAAATATAGTACATAGCATTTCATCTTTCTACACAAATTTTTCAATTCAGACATTTTGTATAAGATTTACTCGATATGAATTTTTCCACTTTTTTCCACTCTTTTTTTTCTTTTCATGTAAAAAATCGAACAAAGAAAATGATAAAATTTGAACCGAGAAATTTCTATAGAAAATATCTCAATAGAATAAGTTGTATAGAAAAATCGAATTCTATAGATTTTTTTTCTATAGAATATTTTCCATTGAACTTCTCTATTAAAAGAAATGCGCAAATAAACAGTGGGATTCATAATTTTTATAGAATCGCTGAAAAACTAATAGAATTTCGTGTATCCCTTTACTTCTCATATCATAGAACATGTCCCAGATTTTTTTGGGATATTTCTATGAAGGACCTGAGAATAGAATGATTTCTCACCGACTCTGTTGCTAGAATTGACCGGAAACAATGCCATGTTCCTCTAAATCGAGGGTTTCTGCCGTCCTGCGTCTGAATGTGAACCTTTATTGTATCCAAAGGATATCCCACCACAAGACCGGCGCACCCTGAAAATTGTTTTCAAAATATTCAATCTGATTTGTCAATTATCGTGAATTCAGAGCTGTTTTATAGTGATTAAACATCGATTAAATGACGTCGTGACAATTGATGCGCAGAAAAAATTTCCACGACAATATAAACTCTGACAATCTCTCCATACTTATTTATTTCGTGAAACAAATTGTCTGCCTTCAAAATTGCCAGTTTGATTTCAAATGATGATTTTTTTTTAGAGGAAAAAAATACATGAGAATTATAAGAAAACGAAAAATGGAAGCTTTATACATATTGAAATATATTTATCTATAAGACGACGTAATCTCTATTGCGAGTGATAATTAAACAGTTTTTAATTTATTCTTTAACCCTTCAGAACTCGCGCTATAAGCGCCGCGCCGCCTTTTTCAAATTTTCGCTTGCCTCTTGCAAAATTGAGCTTTCAAAAAATTGAAAAAATTAGAATGCCTAGCTTGAATCATTTAGAATGGATTAGAAAGGTTCTTATCCGCTGAAAATCCATCAAGGCTACGGAAAATAATAAATTGTTGAGGCTCATATGCAAAAGCGGCGCCGTGCCGCCCAGCGCGAGTAACGAAGGATGTAAAATTTTCAATTCCGCTGTTGCTGTTTCCCGCTCGCCGCACGCTCGGCGCGTACCTATTGAACGTGACAACGCTACGTTACTGAAAGCACGGGCGGCGCAGCGCTCACCACGCGAGTAACGAAGGTCGGTGGCTGAGCGCGAGTTCTGAAGGGTTAATAAGTCTTTCAACTTTCAACATTGACGCGACGGTGGCGGAAACTCGCTAAAAAACGCGCCCGGGCAGTGCAGAGTGAATTCGGCAACGCTAAAGCCTAATCAGCACGGCGGGGAATCCCCGCGGAGGTCACCAAAGTTGCAGAGTTGCGTTTGAGGACCAGACTAGGGGTAAAAATCTGAAATTTTCACCAAAAATTGCAAATAAAATGACAAGAATTTTGGTGTTGTGACGAAATGAGTTAATTTGTCCTTGAATAACTCATGTTTCACTCCGACCTCGGCTAGTCTCGGTGAGCTCACGGGTGGTTCGCTCAATCGGAGGGATAAGTGAACGATAGAGGGAGGGCTAGCGATATTAAACCGACCGTACTAATGTGGGTAAAATAATTATATATTAACTTCTCTTTATACACGGTAGTGTTTAATGGGTCGGTATAACGCGGTACTTGACTCGACTTTTGGACCTTGACTTGACTTGGTTCTTGGTTGGCTGAAGGCCTGAGCTCAGAGATCCGCTCTGTTTCGCTCCTGATCGTACTCTGCCCTTGCAGAGTCTTTGTAAAAATGCTCAAGACTTAAAATTGCAGAGCAAGCAGTCTCACGGTCCCGAAACACTAAGACAATTAAGTGTCATCATTGACACACAACTAGAACAGTCAAACAGCTTCTTTACCGAGAAGCTGGACTCAGATGGCACCGTGAGAGTGCTGAGCTCTGCTCCTGCACGATGAGAAAGAAATCATATTTCTTTTCTCATCGTCCCACATTATAAATTTAATGTAACGTATTATTCATAATACGTCACATTGTATTCAACAAATAACCGACGTATTAATGACAATACGTCACAGTGTCAATTATAATTTGTTTTCCACCGCAGTTCGGTGGTTATTGATTTTTTTCAGTGAGACAAGTATTGAAGATGACCGAAAATCGCTATTATTCATGTAATTCAGTAGCGAAGTGGTAAAAGGAGATAAGTCAATTTTGACTATTGACCAGTTTTCAATCAATATCTCGGAGTCTAAGGGAGATAGCAAAATTTTTGTTATAACCTTTTTTGTGGAGCTGATTGAGTGCTACAACAAATGTGTGTTTGAAACACAACTAAAATTCTAGAACATTCTGGTCGACCATCGGCCTACTTCGAAAATCTCCGGGACCCTTCGGGTCATCAGTCATAAGTCACTGAAACACGCGCGAATCAGCCTTAGCCTCTCAACGTACAAGTCTATCTCGGGCAAATCACCTGTACAAGTCTTACATCGCACCTCACCGAGTACAGAGGCTTCTTAAATCTCACCTAGCTCACTAGTAACCAAGTACATCACCGGTCTTTGTAAGATCAACGTTTCATTCAGTACATCACCATAATAATTTGTTAAACTTCAACTAAATTCAGCGATTCAACAGTATTAATTTCAGACAATTATCGGTTAATCAAAAGACTATCAACAGTGACAATATTACCAGAGTGTATAAGTTATTTAACGGGTAGTTCGATCCCACGAATAAATAGTGATATTTTTATAATCAGTGTCATCATTAATTTTCCAGCATCTCCCTCCACATTTTTCTCCCACATCCACCATAAACCTAGTTCCTCACCAAACAATGTGATTACGAAAATCTCCCTTAGATTCCGAAATATTCATTGAAAACTGGTCAATAGGCACAATTGAGTTGTACCGTTTTACCACTTCGCTACTGAATTTATAGATCTCCAAAAAAATGTCTGAAATTGTTGTAATCACAGCTTTCCAGAGAAACAGTTGAATAATTTAAATGATTAATTAAATTGGGAATTTTTCTGTACTTCTCACGATTTCTCATAAAATTTTCATAACGGAAACGAAGTATTATTAAACAAGTTGACTAAAGGAAAATATGAATGGTTTGTAAGGAATGATTTTAGATCACATTTTGTATGTTTAGAGGATTTTTATCTCTAGACCTCTAACTCGAAATAGACAAGTGTCCTCCCGCGTGAACTTTTGATAAGACCCTTTGCCATTAGGTTACTACGATTATCTGTGGATTGACTAATGCGAGGAAATTTTAACATCGTCAATGATCTATCAATGGCGCAGTATAATTGTTTTTCCTGGTGATGTTGAAAATGGGAAACCAATTTTCTCGAAGGAATTAGGAAATTTTGTATAGTTTTATTAGTTTCTGATAGCAAAATTCAAGAAAGAAAACTTAGTAAATTCATGCCCGATAATTTCTATTAAAAAAATCCCAATAGAATAAGTTATATGGACCATTCTACCAATTCCTGTACGCAAATCCGGCTTAAACATTATCGATTTTTTTTTGTGCTCTTCCGACCATTCGTGTCTAGAAAACGAGATTTCCCGATTATGGGAGGTCCATCGCTTCAATTGACCGGTTTTCACGTGATTATCCATTTTTCTTTCGAAATTGTTCGCTCAAATTTAACGTATTTAAAAGTGTTAAAAAAAAAACAGTTTTTCGTCGGAAATTTTCTGAATGTTCCGAAAATGATAGTCATTTTTTTCCCACATGTCGTTCTCATAGGAAAAATCGGAAAATAAAACTTAAAACTTGAATCTCACCATGTTCTCCATCTTTTTTTGAAAATCTAATTTTTTTTCCGGAAAATTCAGAAAATTTCCGAGCAAAATCTTATGTCAAAAATTTCCGCTCAATCATCCCCTAGTCATAGTTTTTTTTTTCAATAAATTGACCATTTTTTTTTCATTTGCGGATTTATTCACATATACTTATTTACATTGAATACATAGATCACTGATTCATCTTGAGACTCATTTACAAAAAATACACACATACCTGCAAACGTAAATATCACAGCAAAAAAATGGTCAATTTTTCGAAAATTAGAATTCCGCAGATATTTCTGGATATTGCGCTTCAAATGAATTCAATCAAAGCTTAATATATTTGTTTCAATGCGACTATGACGAAGTTAAAAGATGGTTACAATAACTGTCTCGGCTAATTTGGTTTCTAGGATAATTTTTGGAAATTTCGAATTTTTCATGAATTCCCCTGAAAATTAGCTTTCTGATGGTTCCTTTAAATGTGATGTTTTGAATGCATTCAATTACGTATAAATGAAATATTCCTAATGATATTTCATAGAAATTTTCAGAAATCTTTAGAATTTCATTAAGTGAAAAATCTAAAACAATTGGTTGGAAAGAAATTAATTTAATTCAAGAAAATAAAATAGGCTATGAATGCAAAATGACTATTCGGAAGAATATTGCTAATTTATTACCAAAAATAACTATACTATACGCAATACAGGAGCAATTTCCCACTTGTTTTAATTTTTTAATTTTTTCGAAAATCGGTTGTTCCACGATAATTAAAAAAAAATGTTCTGAATTAATTGAATTATGGCTTAAAAAATTGTTTGGATGGCCCTTTACCTGAGTTAAAAAATGAAGGCGATAACAGTAATCGCTATTTTCATTTATTCGAAAATTGTCAAAAATTTTGTATTTATTTGAAAATCAGAATTCCGGGGATATCTTTGAATATCATGCTTCAAGTGAATTCAATCATAGCTTAAAATGTTTGTTTTAATGCCATTAAGTCGAAGTTAAGAGATGATTACGATAGCTGAATGGCTGATTTGATTTTTATGATGATTGTTGAAAATTTTGAATTTTTCTTGAATTTCCCTGAAAGTGAGCTTTCTGATGGTTTCTTCAAATGTGATGTTTCAAATTCATTCAAGTATGTGCAAATAAAATTTTTCTATTAACATTTTATCGAGGGGCTAAGGGGAGAGATAGAACTGTAAAAAGGCAATCGGTTGTATAGAGAAAAAAGGGATAATAAGAATAATGATGCTGATAACATTCAACTAAGTTGAATCTCTGACAAAATTAGGTAATACGAAATCTTATTCAATTTAATAAAATTAAATATTGTAAATAATGAATTACACATGATAGAAGGGAATTATGTGCAAAATAACCATTCGGAAGCATATTGCTAATCTATTAGCAAAAATGACTATACTAGATATAATACAAGAGCAATTTCCCGATTGTTTTTCATAATCTTGATTACTTTTGCGGCCATGGATGTATTTCCCCGATGTCAAACTGTTCAAAAGAAATTTCCCAAAAATGTTTAGAAGCTAATGAATTTTATCGGTTCTACTGGCTTCGACGAGTATTTGCCTGCCGATAGAGATAGATACGTGGAAGGATGAATAGATATGTGGATATCCGCATGAAAAGGCTCCACTTTGTTGATTCTACTTTTCGAGATATTCATGTTTTTCTCTTCGCCACTTCCATTCAAATCAACGTTGAATTATTTTTCCGATCTTATCTAGCGACGGCACTCTTCACGATATCGGGCACGCATGAAAAAATTTAGTGGAAAAACCTAGTGAATTCGTTATAAAATTCTATTGGATTTCTATTGAACCTTCTATCAATCTTTGGCTGATTCTATTGAAATGTTCAATATAAAATATTCAATAGAAAAAGTCAATAGATTTAGTTTTTTCTATATAACTGTTTCTCTTTAGATATTTACCATAAAATTTCCTCGGTTTAAAGTTTCTAAGTTTTTTGATTTCATTTCCTTGATGAAAAAAAAAGAAAAATAGAATGAAAAAAAAAATTTGGGTGGAGGAAATTCTATAGAAAGAATCTCAATAAAATAAGTTGTACAGGAAAATCGAATTCTATTAATTTTTTCTATAGAATATTTTCTATTGAACAATTCAATAGAAACGGCGAAAAACTAATAGAAAGTTCAATAGAATTGTCTAGCGAATTCGCTAGGTTTTTCTATTAGATTTTTTCGTGAGTGAAGAAAAATAGAATGAAAATAAACTTGGATAAATGTGAGCCGAGGAAATTCTATAGAAAAAATCTCAATAGAATAAGTTGCACAGACAAATCGAATTCTATACACTTTTTCTACAGAGTATTTTCTATTGAACATTTCAATAGAAAGTTCAATCGAAATCCAACAGAATTGTCTAGAGAATTCGCTAGGTTTTTTTATTAAATTTTGTCGTGCGTGAAATGTCGCCAGTTCCAGTCAAAAAATTTTAACAATGCATTCACCGAACACTATTTTTCTCTCATTACCTCCAAAACAACCGGCAGCGAAGTCAAGTGCCATCGTGGTGTATTTACACTTCCAAAAAACGTCAAGCAACCACGTGATTTTCTCCTCAAAAATGACTCCTTAAGTTTGACAGTTACATTTAAACATGATTGATAATATTTTCCGGAATCCATGAAAGTGAATGAGAAAATAATTGCAAAAATTTGTTGCTTTGTTTAATGAATCCGATAAAACTGAAGCCAATCAACAATTGAACACCCGAACGATTAAGAAAGAAAGTTCACTATTGAGAAGTGTTCACTGGTCTTCAAGTAGTACAAAATCATTGTTGCGAGAATAGAATGTTGAAAAAATTCGTTATATTTCAAATTTTTAATTCTACGAAAATAAAATCGACTAAACCATGATGTTTCTAGTCGAGTACTGATCCTCAAGCTTGAGTTATTGCTTTCCAATGATTTCAGGGAGCAAAGATCATCGGACTTATCGTAAAGACCAGTGGAAAAAAATGCTCAATGTTGGAGGAGAGAAAAAGACGACGCCTCTGGCGCTAATCGCACTTGAACATGGTAAAATTGATGTCTCAAGTTTTCCGTAGGCACAGGAGGTCAAAGGGGTAGATGATAACAAAATCATCGCGGCCGAATAAATTTCATTATTCTCTCGTGTTTTTTTTATTTTCTCGATTCTTTTTTAGGCAGCCCACAATCGCAGATTCATGCAAAACATTGTTGATTGTCAATATTTTGGTGACGTAGGATCGGGCGATTTTTTAATTTTTGCTTCCCGAATGGAAGCATTATATTAGTCAAATCCGGAAATTTTAATTTTTTGTGTAAGAATAATTAATTTTGGCCTCAGGAGTTGGAATATGCTATTTTTAGACCATGTCAGAATGTATGTATGTATGTATGTGTGTATGTGACCGATCGTTTTCCGACGATAACTAAAAAAATGATCGTTTAACTGAATCCAATTGTGATTTAAAATATTCTTCCGAATATCATCTAGACAGGGTTTGATCATGAGATTGATTGCATCAACTGTTGTTGAAAAAATTAATTTTCAAACCAATATTCAGGAAAAGGTAAAAAATTTTAACGTTGAGGCGATGTTGGCTACCAATGATGGGGCAATGTTGGCTGCCAATGTTGACTACCAGCGGTGAGCCGATGTTGGCTGCCAACGTTGGGACAACGTTATGTCCATGTTGGGGCAATGTTTGCTGCCAATGTTGGCTGCCAGCGTCGAGGCAATGTTGGCTGCCAGCATTGGGGCGATGTTGGCGGCTACCGTTGAGGTATTGTTGACTGCCAACGTTGAGGTATTGTTGGCTGTCAAGGTTGGGGCAATGTTGACTGCCAAGGTTAAGGTAAGGTTGGCTGTCAATGTTGAGGTAATGTTGGCTGTCAACGTTGGGGCAAGGTTAGCTGGCCAAGTTGGAGAAATGTTGGCTGCCAGCGTTGATGCAAAGTTGTTTGGCAGTGCTAACATTGACAATGTTGAATTCAATAAATCGTTGAATTCAATGTAAAATACGTCGTCATAGAAATTCCATTCGGAAGCAAACTTCTATTTTTTCCAGCAAAAATATGTTAACTATGTAGTGACAAAAACAACTTCTCACTTGTATTTTTAGTTGTATGAGGCTTATTTCTGGGGATTTATTCGCATAATTTGAAATTTTGTGGGTAGAATTCGATGCTTGAGACTTTTGCCACTAGGGAGAGATACTTTACGAAGGATTGATGGGATGAAACAATGCTCTCTATTTTTGAGGGAAATTAAGAAGAAAATATTTTAATGAAATTACTAAAGAAATTAATGAATTTTGAGTTTTATATTCCACAAATTGAGATATTTTACAATTTTATAAATTCACCATATATTACTACCGACGTCCAATGATCGCGGTGGCTAAATCGTTAGTTCGGCTTGGCCACTAGGAGGTCGTGGCTTCGAATCCCAGTGCGGTCGGGTTTTTTAACTTCTGGAAACAGGGGTTGGGGGCTCGAAAGGGTGGCTGGGCTTCGGATCCCGACTGGGGAGGGCCCTTAACTTCCGGTAAAGGGGGTTAAGGGCTTCGTCTGGGGGGGATTCTGGTGGTGGGGTCCGTCTCACCACAGCTCTGGACGAGCGGGAGGTTCCTAATAGAGGAATCGACTGTACCGACGGAGGTTTTTTGTGGTTTCCTTCGTCTCTCGTGGGAGCAAATGCGGTACAGTGTAGCAAGTCGGCCACAACCGCAAGGTTAGGTAGAGGATAGATGGCGGATTAAATCAAATGGTTTAAAATGCCTTAAATAAAAAAAAAAACAAAAACCATATATTTCTGCAATATTATACTATTTCAACCAAATAAATCCTTCTCCCATATTTGTTTTCTGAGTTTCTTATTTCATGTTTTTCTTTCTAACTCTCATTGAGAGAAATTAAACAAAAACAAAACTGAAAATTTTGAACCGTCGAATTTCCGATAGAAATTAAATAGAATTTTTTAGCCAATTCGTTAGGTTTTCCTATAATATTTTTTCAATTATTTCTATATTTTGTGACAATTTTATAAATTCACGTTATACTTATTCAATATTATCATAACAGATTATTTCAACAACAAAAAAAAATATTCTGTTTGCGCAAAATCGAATGATGATAAAGTCAGCACCCACATTGCCATTGCCCTCACCACCAGCGGCACCAGTAGTATTGATCCAATTAACTAGAACCGGCGCGAAGAGACGATCCCACTCCCTTCGAAATGTCTATAAAGAAGTGATTCGAAAATCTAATCAAACCCATGAAAAATAAAAACTTAGAAAAATGTTCTTCTCGCGAATTGAATAAAATTTGCATTACGTTCCTTTCAATCCGTTCTTCAACCATATAATCGTTAATCGGTCAGATAAATATTGTTCCATGATATATCGACTCTTGCGCAGAATCGAGTGCTTCGTAAGTATCAGGTGTTGAGTAAAACTGACTACTAAATATATACGTCGAGGCACGCGGTCTCGCTACCGATTTGGATTTTAGTAGAAATCCGAAAGCTTACAGTTACAAAATATCATTTCCATTCTTCAATCATAAATCGTTCAATTTTCAAGAAAAAAATTACCACTGAATCTCTCAAAAGTCACTGCGTCTAAAGTACAATTAATAAATTCCAGTAAATATTTAAGTTAATTTAATTTACATAATGAATAAAACTGCGAAGTGATTTGTGAAGTGATTTGACCTATCAATAACGAACCTGTGTCATCAGTCAATTTTGCAAGGATTATCGATCAGTTATTAAATGTCCAGGTGGGTGAGAGTTTATTGACGTTTCCATGGCGCGTGAATCATCACGAGGGTGATAATTTTTAGCCGAAGACGAGTCAAATTTCACAGGATAACACATATTCAATATGATGTAACAATTCCAGAGAATTTTCATTCATCTTCATTAATCGAATCAACAAAAACATTTTCATCCATTCAAAACTAATTATTTTCAACTAATTATGCTCTTCTTCAAATACTCTATTCATTGGTCTCTCAATTAATTAATTTAATTGAACATAAGTAAAAAAGTTGTAATGAATGGAAAAATTCTTAATTGCGTTTTTGTTGTTCTTCCTTGTTTGCATTATTTATTTTTTGTGGAAAAATTGAAATAAAAAAATTGTTGTTCAGCATTTTTTTTTTGTATTGAGATGCCCTTGGCTGAATTATGATCTCTATTCTCGTGTCTCCTCAGACCACACAACAAGTGTTTAATCTATTTTTTTTTATTTCTGGGAAATAGATATCTAGTTAATCTGTTATTTACACTGAGCACGCAATAGAGAGACAAAATAAAACGAAAGTAAAAGACTAAAAAAGTCTGAATACTGCATCGGATTACCCGAGGGCATATCCGGTGTAACTGAGTACATTTCTACCGATTAATATTGATCCGTTCACTCGACGTTATTTTTAATTTTAGAATAAAAAATGGATCTGAAAAAGTCGGAGAAATTAACAACGTCACCGCTCACCCAGCGATTGTTCATCAAACAAGATCCACAGGTAGTGATTATTATAATTTTTTATGGCGAGAGAGGCTTGATTAACTTGATAAACTCGTGGCAAGCGTTTTAATGAATCTATTGAGCTCAATTGGACGGGGTATTTTAACTGGTGAATTAATTGGATTTCAAGTGTGACGAGAAGAAATCATATTGAGGGAACGAAAGAGCTTGAAGAAACGTTTAGAAAAAATACTCAACTTTTTTTAATAATCAATTTTTTGTTGAAATTTTGGAGATAGAGTTTTACTTTTTCGTACGGAACTGAAATAAAAGATCTATTGGGAATCTCTTCATTTTTCGCCGATTCCATTGGAAAATTCTGCAGATTTCCTGAGTGTTTTTTTATGTTGAATTGAAAATATTTTATAGGAAAAATGCATAGAGTTTAATTCTGATGGGCAACTTATTCTATTGATAAATTTTGTGTCGAAAGTCTTTGGTATCAATTTTTATTTTTTTTCACTTTCTTCGCATATGAAAAATGTAATATTTTTTCTATTACTTCTGTATTATTTTTTCATTTAAATTATTTCTATAATATTTTTTTACAATTTTACAAATTCACATTACATTTATTCAATATTATTATAACATACTATTTCAACAAAATAAATCTTTCTCTTATTAAGAAAATTAAATAAAAAATCTTGAAAATTTGAGCCGACGAATTTTTAATGGGAGTTCAATAGAAATCCAATAGAATTTTATAGCGATTTCGTTAGGTTTTTCTATGATATTTTTTCGTGCGTCCATTATCTAACGGGGGTTCTTCGAAGAAAAAATTCAGAAAGTTAATTTTGGATTTCGTCTATTTATAGAAATTTTACAATTCCATAAATTCACGTTCTGCTATACCAATAATAACCTAACATACTATTTCAACAAAAAAAAATCTTTTTTGCGCAGAATCCCAAACTCTCTTCACATTTACGCAGAATCGCACTTTCTTCACATTAGAAAAGATTTAATAGAAAAACCTAACGTTTTCTCTAAGAAATTCTATTGAATTTTTATTGCAACTTTATGAGAATTCTATTGAACTGCGGTTTAAATTCTACGAAATAATTCCATTTGTTTTCAGTTATCGTTTTTAGTAAAGATTATACAACTTTACTATGCGATTTCGTAAGTAATGTTCGATAGAAAGAGATTTTTAATATTTAATTTTTTCTATTGTCTTCTTTATAAAAAAATATCTATTGAAAAACACACAGCGAAGTTGCATAATTTTCCATAGAGTTGGAATAAAAAAAATTTCAATGAAATTTCTATAGAATTTCTCTAGAAATTCAATCGGATTTCTTGGAAAAGGCGTTAGATTTTTTTAAATCATTTTTTTCCATACCTGTTTTTCCATCACTTGGGTGTAAAGTGAAATTTTACGCACGCTCCGCGTGCGCAAAGTCCCATTTTCTACACATTGTGACGGAAAATAGGGTTCGACACTCGTGGGGAAAGTGTTCTTTGACAATGGGGAGCGTAGCCCTCGCCGAAGGCACACCTCCCACGGGTCAAAAATACTTTTACTCATTCACTTGAATCGAAATACACTATTTTGACTGGTGGGAGGCGTGTAGCGCCTGCCGAAGGCGAGTGCTACCCTTCCAAGGGTCAAAGGACACTTTTCCCACAAGTATCGAACTCTATTCTTCATCACAATGTGTGTAAAGTACTCAGCGTGCGCAAAATTTGACTTTACGCACAAGTGCTCATATGGAAAAATTCAAAATTAGTATATTTCAGCACGTGTGGGGCAATATCGTCTTTAACGTGTGTGGGGTTTACAGCATGAGCCGAAGGCGAGTGATGTAACCACACACGTTAAGGACGAATTTTCCCAACAAGTACTGAACAAAATTTTATGTCACGAAGCCTGAAACCGGCTGAATTAGACACGAGACGCGAAGCGTCGAGTGTGTAATCCAGCCGGTTTCAGGCATGAGTGGCATAAAAAAACTTACCAAATTCGCTAGAAAATTTTATTGAGATTCTATTAAATTTCTATTTGTTTTTTGCGCTGATTCTATGAGATACTTGATAAGAAAAATTGACAAGATTTCGATTTTTCTATATGAATATTCTCTTGGAATTTTTTCTATAAGAATACTTGGATATGAATTTCCTAAGGTGTTTTTCACTCGGATACTGCAATACAAAACAAAACAAAATATAGCAGAAAAAACTTGAAAAATCCGTGCCCAATAGTTTTAATAGAAAAAAATCTCAAGAGAAAAATTGAAACGGAAAAATCGAAATCTATTGACTTTTCCCTATTAAATATCTATGGAATCTGTGCAAAAAACATATAGAATATTAACGAGAATTCTCTAGAATTTTAATAGAATCCCCATAGAATTTCTAGGAAATTTCAATAGAAATTTCTAGCGAATTCGCTAAGGTCTTCTATGAAAGTTTTTCATACGTGTGATGAAAAAATATTATTATTTGCTCCTCATTAAAGACCCGAAAATCTTCTGGTGGCATTAATTGAGCCATTGACGGTAAATTTTCAATTTACTTCTCAAATAATTAGGATGAAGAGGCATCAGATTGCCCACTTCTAACGCCAAGTCCACCACTCGGTACCACACCAGATCCCCTCGAAACTCCAACAATGTTCAATCCACTCGAGGACACTCCCTTAGAAATGACACCAACGCCCACACTCGATAATTTAAACTCTGAAGAAGGTCTCAAGGCATTCATCGATATTGTCAACAGCAGCAACAAGAAGCACATGATCGAAGGTAACTGCCCCTTTCCCAGAATCAAGATTAAATTCCCAGAGCTGGGAATCATTGACCCTCGGAATTCAAATTGATAAAGCCAATTTTATGGGACCGATCTGAGGTATTTATACTCACTTCAATCATTCGATTGACCCTGTGTCGCCGAATCATTGAGGCATGACGCAGTGAGACTTTAAATCATTCATCAGTACAATAGCTAGTGTCTAGCGTGTTGCATATTCTCACGGAGAAAAATCATTTCTCTCTGTAATGGATTCCTCCTGTTTTCAAGAAGAGCCTAGTTCACGTGACCCCATGGTGGAGTCCAGCAGCAGTGAGGAGAGCAGTAGTCTTACCAAGGAACCAGTTTGCACGCAATTGTTGACGCAGTTGAACACTGCATATCAACATTTAGCTCCGGATGCACAAGCAATAGTGAGTAAACAAGTGGAGAATGGATTTTTTTATGAATGGGTATAGTAATAGGGAACTTGCATGAATTTTTTTCAATTTTTTAATCTCAGGTTCGGGACTCGACTAATTCATTTTCCGTAGTGACTTTCACTTTCAGTCCGGGGATTGGTATTGACCCTTCCCCGAACTGGGAAAAGTGAAGGTCAGTACGGAAAACTATCGTTCGATACTCATGGGAAAAGTGTTTTTTGGCTCGTGGGATTATATCACTCGCCTTCGGCTCGTCCTATAAACCTCCCACAAGTAAAAAAAAAACTTTTCCGCACTTGTATCGAAATATACTATTTTGACACTGCTGCTACGGTCACCTGGTGCCGAAAAGTGCCTTTTTGTTTACAGTGGTTACTCCCTAACATTTCGGTTCTCTAACATTTCAGTCGGAGAAGTTAACTTCTCCCACCATTCACAACGTAAATATGGTTGCGTAAATCTATGTGCCCCTCTGCGCGACGGGACTGCGCAGTAAAATTACTCTCGGCATGTGAGAGTGAAACAGGCAGATTCTTTCTCTGTTTATCTCTTTCCCAACTCCGCCTCTAACGGAAGAGTAAGGGCTTCCCAAACATTTAATTTCTTGAATTCTGGTCCCAGAGGCTGAAATGTTAGGGAGTAACCACTGTACTCGTAAGCGAAAAGTCTTTTCGTTTATTTGTAAACGAAAAAGGCACAGTTCGGTCACTCGTTGAACGTAACATCACTGTAAAAAAATATTATTCGACACTCGTGAAAATTCTGTTTTACTCGTATCGAAATATACTATTTTTATTCACAAACGTTTGAAATATTGCTCATTAATTAATAATTAATTATTAAAAGTTGAAGATTTCAAACGCTTTGAAATCGCTAATGACGTAATACAGACGGTCGAGTGCTGGACCAATCACAGAATGGCTTGAGCCGACCTAATCCAATCTTGACGTGCGCCTCGGCCAATGGAGAACGACAACTCCCCATTCTCTTCTTTTTCGACCAATAAAGCGTTACCTGACCGTCTTCGTGACGTCATGACCGAAAAATTGGCCGCGAAAACGACTGATTTTCAATTAGTTATCAGAAGACAGATAGGCAATATTTCACCATAATTTTCGCCGTTTAACTATTGATATGCTACGTCTGAATAAAATGAAAATTTGTGAATTTTGAATTTCAGACGAACAGGTGCTTAAACATCTTAATTCATGGTTTCAGATGAACATCTAAATGCCTAAACATCTTAACTCATATTTGAAATTGAGACAAATTTCCATTTTATTCAGACGTTTTTTAGTATCTGAAAAATGTCTACAAAAGGTGTGTGAACTTCAGAGATTCGTTTTTGTTGTGAATGTATGAATAGGGGAATTAGAAAGAATTGAGCTCCATGCAAGTTCCCTATTGTTGCTAATAAGTTTGCAATTTGCTAACGAATGGGTTCTCTTTTTTGAAATTCTTATTTCACTATTCTCTTCTTCTATTTTTTCATGTCATAGTACCATCACCAATTGAAATGTCATAAAGCTTTTGCCTATTATGTCGTTATGTCAAATAATTCCACATTCAGTCCTTAAAAGCCCTTAAATTGTAAACTGAGAGAGAGAAAACATGTTAGACAAGTCTTGTTTGACAAAAAAAATCGATTGAAAACTATCCAGAAGAAAACATCTCGTGCTGAACGATTAAAGAAGGTCCAGAGATGAGCAATATATATTGCAACGATGGTTTTATTTATTTTATTTTTTTAAATGTTATTTTCTGCGAAAACCAGAAGTCTCATTTCCACACGGAGAGAAGAGTTGGATAAAAATTACCTAGAAAAACCCTGGCAAATTTTGCTGTACGAAAGGTAATCTTGGAACGAAATATAATGCAATGAAAAAATACCCGTTTGTGGAGAATATTTTGTTTCGTTCGGTAAAATTTCCCACACCCGTAGGGTGCGGGTATTTTTGATCTTGCATCCTTCTGAAGGTCATAGGAATGAATGAAAGTGAAATTTTACCGAACGCGTTCGGTAAAAAATCATTCTTCGTTACAGAAAAATCATTTCTGATGGAATGCAGGTTAAATGTTACAGTTTCGGCGCAAATTACCCTCACGTTCAGTAAATTTTGCTGAGCCAATGGATAAAAATTCACTATACTTCTCGCCTTTTTCCTTTTTCCCCGCTATAGAGTAAAAAAATCGTGAAAATCGAGGTCGCTCCACGATTACTTGACTTGCTCGGTAATTTCACATTACGTGCAGCACTGCAATGAGGAATGCTAATTGTATGTGAAAAATAAGAAATGAATTCGCAAGTAGAATAATGATGATGATATGATAGCTACTCTGTAAGTGAAGAACAAAATATTTCTTTATTAATTTCATTTTATGAGAGATATTTTCATCCTGAAACGCCACCATCTTGCGGTTCAAACTTTTGTATATTAAAATATTAAATTTATATCTCAGCAATTATCAGCTTGTTTTTTTTTGTTCAAACAGGACTTGTTTGAAAACATGTTTTTATTTCTCTCAGTATATCATGGAATTTTCGATGAAATTCAAATTTCAGTGTTCTGTAATAATGATGTGGAACTATATCATTTGAAAATTTGCCAGACATCATCCATTGCATTGTCGAATTATTTTCCGCTTGTTGAAGAGTAGAAATATTAGTGGGAAAATAACTTTAAATTCATAACGATTGTCAACTTTCAGAAATTGATGATGAGTCATTTTTTTGAGAAGTCACATATTTCCTGAAATATCCATTATTTTCGCTAGTTTAATATGAATTCAAGAATGATTTAAAAATTCTTATAATTTGATTTACTGCCTCATAAAATTGTTTCGTCTCTGCAGATAAATAAAACAAGACTGAAAACACATTAAGACATTTCTTCTAATTTTTAGAAACAAGGAAGAATAGTTTTTCATGTCGACTATTCAACACTTGAGAGTAAGCAATACTAAAATAGAATAATAATGATGATACGTTAATAGTCTTATGATTTAACGACAAAGTAGTTCTTGATTAATTTCACTTTACGACATGGATGAAAAAAAATAATAGAAAAACCCAACGAATTGGTTAGAAAATTTTATTGAATTTCTATTGAACTTTCTATTAGTTTTTGGCCGATTCTATTAAAATGTTTAGCAGAAAATATTCAATAGAAAAAGTCAATAGAATTCGATTTTTTTGTGCGATTTATTCTATTCAGATATTTTCAATAGAATTGCGTCGGCTCAAATTTTCCAAGTTTTTTTGTTTGATTTTCTTCATGAGAAGAAAAGAAAAATAGAATGAAAAAACCTAGAAAATTTGAGCCGAGGAAATTCTATAGAAAATATCTCAACAGAATTAGTCAAAAACGAATAGAAAGTTCAATAGAAATCTAATAGAATTTTCTGACTAATTCACTAGGTTTTTCTATTCATTTTTTTCGTGCGTGGAGATTTTCAACCTAAAACGGCACTATCTCAAATATTTCCTTGCCAAAAGCAGAGCGATCATTTATGATTAAATCTTTTGTTTGTTAAAATATTGAATTTATACCTCAGCTATTACCAGCTTGTGGTTTTTTGTTCAAACAGATTTTTTTGTTAAAATGATAAATTTATGCCTCAGCAATTATACGCATGTGTTTTTTTTCAAACAGGACTTGTTTGAAAAACATGTTTTTGCTTTTGTCAATGTACGATAGAATTTCCGAGGAAATTGAAATTTCAGTGTTCTGTGATAATGATGTAGAACTATATTATTTGAAAATTTGCCAGACAACATCATCCATTGCATTGTCGAATTATTTTCCTGTCGTTGAAGAGTAGAAATACTAATGGGAACACAGCTTTACACTCATAACCATTCTCAACTTCTAGAAATGTACGATGAAATAATATTCCTGAAATAATTCATATTTCCTGAAACAACCATTATTTCTGCTAGTTTAATATGCATTCAAGAATGGTTTAATAATTCTCGAATTGTTATTTAGTGCCTCGTAAAATTGTTTTGTCTCTGCAGATAAAATAAGACCGAAAACACTTCAAGACATTTTTTTCTAATCTTTACGTCGTCTGTAAATATTTGGGTACATTGAGAAATGCAGGAAAAATATGTATGTATTCTATTGTTGAGAGTGGATACAACACGCACGTATGAAGAAATTCAATGAAAACCTAACGAATTCGCTAGAAAATTCTATTAGAATTCTACTGAAAAATTGTATTTGTTTTTTTGCGCTGATTCTGTTGGATATTCGATAAAAAAAAGTCAATAGATTTCGAATTTCTGTTTGAATTTCCTCTTGAGATTTTTCGTATAAAAATGCTTCGCCATCAATTTAGAAAATTTGTGCCGAATAATTGTAACAGGAAAAATTTCAAGAGAAAAAATTTGAACAGAAATTCAAAATATATTGACTTTTTCCTATGACATATGCAATAGAATCCGCCCAAAAAAACTAGAATTTTTCAATAGAATTCCAGTAGAAATCCTATAGAAACCTCATAGAATTCCCATAGAATTCCAATAGAATTTCCTAGCGAATTCGCTAGGTTTTTTACTGAATTTTTTCATGCGTGCGGTTACTCAATGAAATTCTCAACCACAAAAAATGAATCACGAGTTCAATACGATCGAGTTTCGAGGGAAACAAATCATTGCCAACTCTGTTACGCAGTAATTTACGCGGACCTAGACAGCGGTCATTGCCAAGAGCCCTATACGTATTATATTTATAGCTGGATTCACATTGTTTTTTCTATAGTACTTCATACATACCACCAATGATATAAACCTGCTAAATCATTCATTTGCAGTTCTACAATCAAGAGACGAGTGGCAAACCACCACTGGTTGGAATTCAGCTCGTGGTGCCAAAGCCACCAAAGGATTACAGTTTTACAAGGTGGAATTGGCCAAGAATACGTCAGGCATGCTTTTGGTTGATGGTTTGCGTGTTGACATTGAGCACGGGACTTGTCATCAGAGGAATTGTATTAATGCCGAAAAAGTATGTTTGGGAATTAATTTTTTTGCTCAACAAACGAAATAGCGAATTTTAAAATGAGACGAGAGAATTTATTTAAAAATCTTTAAGCATTTTGATAATTTTTTTTCTTTCGTTGAAATTATCATTTGATGGTGTGGAACAGAATTACTTGAGGGAAATTAAGGGGAGACTAGTATGAGTTTTAAAAGTCGCGAGCTATTCGAATGTGATTTCTCATACTTTGAAGATCGATTATCTCTGTATATTATCAAAATCCAAATCGACTTCTGGTGATAAAAATGTTGTACTCGAAATTAAAACTCCACAATTGAGGGTCGCAAGGGTCATGAGGATCAAAATAATGGTCATGAGAGTCAAAATAAGGGTCAGAAGGGTTAAAATAAGGGTCACAAAGTTCAGAATTAGGGTCATGAGGGCCAGAATAAGGGTCACGAGGCTCAGAATAAGCGTCACGAGAGTCAGAATAAGGGTCATGAGGGTCAGAATAAGAGCCCCAGGTCAGAATAAGGATTATGGGGGTCACGTGCGGCGTTTGACGACATTAACACGCGATATAATTTTTCAGCAGAACCAATTTATTCTTTCAGTGTAGCTGAACATCATTCAAAATTTTATAGAAAAACCAAACGAATTCGCTAGAAAATTCATTAAGTTTCTATTGAAAATTCTATTAGTCTTCGCCTCTATTCTACTCGAAAATTCCGCAGCTCCTTTGAGTTTTTTTTGTCATTCCGGTCGTAAGGCAGCGTTTCACGGACGCTCCGCTTCCGTGAATCTCTGCCTACGGCCGTCATGACAAAAAATATTGTTTGTCATACGGCCAAAAAAAACTTTTCTGACAAATATGATTGAAGCCCTCGCCTTCGGCTCGTGCTGCAAACCTCATATTCGCCAGAAAAGTTTTTTTCGGCCTAATGACGAAATATACTATTTTTTCAATAAAAAATAGGCAGTGTCTGTTCACACTGTCCACGGTAAATTTTACCGTGGATATAGGGTATATTTTACCGTGGATATATGGTAATTTCTACCGTGGATATAAGGCAAGCAGTGGGGTACGTTAGGCCCATTTTTTATGCCGTGGATAAAAGGTAATTCTTACCGTGGATATAAGATAAAGCAGTGGTGTGCATCGGACCCATTTTTACCGTGGATATAAAGTAATTTTTTTTTACCGTGCATATTAGGTGAGTGAATGGCGTGCAGTGTTTCCACTTTTTACCGTGGATGCAAGGGAGATTTTACCGTGGATCTATTATATACACGGTGATGTCTACCGTGTATATAAGGGAGATCAATGGTAAGCATCGCGTAGGGAAATTATCTCGCAGATCTAGTTGTATTATGGGTTAGAGCCTTTAAAATTTCAAAGATCAGGGGGGTGACGACCAGGGTTAAACGAGAGACGAATAAAGTTAGTAGGCCAATCAAATAAGGACTTTTTTTTTGCCGAAATCGAGGATGATAGAAGAAGGATAAAAACCATGAGATATCATGCGGAAAAATGATATGAAATACATACTGAGTNGTCTTTAAAGATGACAAATGTCTCTAAAGATGATGTCTGTTTTCAACTGAAAAGCGCAATTGTAACAACATCGTCCAGTGGGGTCTAGGAATCTCCCCCGGTTCAAAACCATCTTTAGAGGCATCAGCATACCATTTTTCGAGCCGCTCTTTCATTTGAGCCCAAAAAAACATTCATATCTTGTCTGACATCTCTGCTACAAACTCTGGTTTTCAACTCTCGTTTTCAATTAAAACCAGAGTTGAAGACCCGAGTTGTTTTCAATTAAAACCAAAGTTGAAGACCAGAGTTTGTAGCAGAGATGGGAGACAAGATATGAATGTTTTTTTGGGCTTAAATGAAAGAGCGGCTCGAAAAATGGTGTGCTGATGCCTCTAAAGATGGTTTTGAACCAGGAGAGACTCCTAGACCCCACTGGACAATGTTGTCACAATTGCGCTTTTCAGTTGAAAACAGACATCATCTTTAGAGACATTTGTCATCTTTAAAACCATCTTCCACGGTAAAAAGTGGAAACACTGCACGCCATTCACTCACCTTATACGCACGGTAAAAAAAAATTACTTTATATCCACGGTGAAAATCTTCCCTATATCCACGGTAAAAATGGGCCCGATGCACACCACTGCTTTATCTTATATTCACGGTAAGAATTACCTTTTATCCACGGTAAAAAAATGGGCCTAACGTACCCCACTGCTTGCCTTATATCCGCGGTATAGAAATTACCATATATCCACGGTAAAATATACCCTATATCCACGGTAAAATTTACCGTGGACCGTGTGAATAGACACTGCCTAAAAAATATTCCATAGAAACAATCAATAAAATGAAGAACAACAGATGAAATGAAACCTTTCTCGACTAGCCTTGAGATGATACCGAAATTTAATGAATCATTCGAGTAAAGCAATGTGAATTGAATATTTCCTCTCGATCAGTCATCGAGGATTTATTATCACCGATTGATATCGATACAACTCCTTTCCAGATGTGCCCCACCCACAGAATGGTGGCAAGGCAAGCTTTTCTACGAGATATTTCCGGGCTCCTTTCAAGACACTTCTCGAAATGGTGTCGGTGATATTCGAGGTATCACAATGCGCATGGATTACCTACAGCACCTGGGTGTCAAAGCAATCCGCTTGAACTCAATATTCTCTTCCTCCGGGTATCCAGAGCACTACCCAAGTATAACGAGTCTCACAAAAATCGATCACAACTTGGGATCGATAGAGGATTTCGAGGAGCTAGTCGACACTCTACATAAAAATGGAATGAGTTTGATTCTCGATTTTCCTCTGCATCCTTTTGTGGAAGAATTGAGGGGGGGATTCATGAAGAGGACTGCAGTGAAGTCTCCAGGAATGGAGAAGACAGAGGGAAGACGCAGAAGGAATATTGAAATCAAACCCACAATAACAACAACAACAACAACAACAACAGAATCTTCAACTATAAACAACGAAATTGCAAAAACACCAACAACCCCATTGCCATTTTTGAACATGACCAAAGACGAGCCAAAATCCGAGAGATACGTAGCCTCTAATTCCGTGGATCCGAATCAAGCTGAGCACGAGGTGACAAAAGCCCTGAAATACTGGTTACGAAAAAGAGTAGATGGATTCTACCTGAAGGGTCTAGAGCACTACGTCAACGACATCCACTTCGTTCACCTCCTCGAGGACTGGAGAGACATCTTGGGATATCAGAAGATCCTAATCTGCAATTGGAAGACCCTCCAATCCGCGAAATCGGAGGTCGTCAGGAAAACCATTGTCGGCTCGATAAATCTACTGGACGTGACGTTGAAGCTATCTAATGGAACGAAGGATATAAAGAGGCAGGTGGAGCTGATCACGAAGAGTGATTTGTTGAGAGAGCCTAGTATCGATCATCCTTGGATTCACTGGTCGATTGGGAGTGTCGAGACTGATAGAGTTATCTCTAGTTTACCGGTTAAAAATGCCAGCGCTGCTGTTAGTTTGTTGGGGATGATGCTGCCGGGGACGCCTAGCATTTTTTATGGAGATGAGGTAATAATATTATTACACAATTGTACACTGAGATTTCTCTTCGTTTCATCTTCGTCATAATGTCGCAAAACTAATTTCTTGCGCCAAATATCTCATCTGTTGAGGATAAATTTCTTGGAATAAGAATTCCGGATAATGTGTCAGACAATGTGAAATTTCAGTGAAGTAACCATGACTTGAACATGAACATTTCATGATAAAGTGAAAATTTCTTGCCACAAGAAATCAGATTTTTCCCTCGCCTTCGGCTCCGGCTGCAAACTCATATCAAAGTTTTTTTTGGTCATGTGACGAACAATATTTTTCAAAACAATATTTTTTGACATATTCACCTAAAAAAAAGTCGGTCTGATTCAGACCGATTTTTCGATCTCAAGTCGGACCTAATTATGCTGGGAATCGACTTGTTTCATGTCGAATTGACGGCATGAATCAAGTCGGACTCGGACAGATGCAAACCGGTATATCGGTCTGATTCAAGTCGATTTTTTGATTTTTCAAAACCGGCTTGTATCAGACCGGAAAATCGACTTGAATCAGACCGAAAAATCGACTTCAATCAGATCGAAAAAACGACTTGAATCAAATCGAAAAATCAACTTGAATTAAGTGGCTATCTACTACCTGAAAGAGGCAGCATTTCGTCGTGAATCACTCTGCTTTTCGGTTTGATTCAAGTCGATTTTTCGGTGTGATTCAAACCGATTTCGACTTGAAATAAACTGCTTTTCGACTTATATGAGACCCGGAATCCGGATTGGCGTAGTCCGAGTCACTCAACTTGAATCAAGCCGAAAATCGGTTAGAATCAAGCTGACGACGACTTGAATGAGCACTTTTTTTGGGTGCTCTTTGAAAATACTATATTATGTCATCAGGCGATAAAAGTATTATCCGGCGAATGTGGGTTTATAATCCGAGCCGAAGGCGAGGATTATAACCACATTCGCCAGATAATGCTTTTATCGCCGTGTGACATACGATATTTTAATGCCTAATGACATAAAGTGGTTTTTGACCCGTGAAAGATCTGTTGCGCTCGCCGAAGGCGAGTGCTATCCTCCCAAAGGTTCACGAGTGTCGAAGCCTGGTTTTCATCACAATGTGTGGAAATTGGGATTTTGCGCATGCGAAGCTTGCGTAAAATTGCACTTTATGCACAAGTGATGAAATATACTATATTGACATTCCTCATGTTATCTGAATAAACCGACTTCTTGACATTTGTAAGTAAACGTTCACGGGCTGAGACTACGATTCAAAACCAGCTTAACTTGTATATGGCCCATTCCGCCAAAAATCGTACGAGATCAGGCCTCCAAATTTTCGACAATTTTTTTTTGGTTGTTCTTGATACTTATGTATAGAAAAGAAGATTTATCGGCTAGCAGAGATTCCGCGGCTTAATTAGAGGCGCTCCGCGTGATTGAACATTTTAAACTCGAAATTCTGCGCTCTTAACGTGTTGAAAAATGTTTAGAAAAAAAAATTCAAAACAGTTTTTGATCCGAAATTTTATGAATTTGTAAAAAATTGTGGTTTTTTGTTTCTCCACTTCAACGTCATGAGAAATGAAAAACAAAACATGAGTCTTTAGAAAATTGATTTCTCACGATCTTTGCATATTATGATGTTAATATGGAATAAGGAAGTACGTTTCGTCAATGAAAATAATTATGTAATGCATGAAAATTGTAATCACAAGATCAAACCATCCAAAATCGATTTTCGTAGTATTAACTTTTTTTCATTTTCTTTCTAGCTGTGCAGCACGCGTGCGCACATATTTCAAAGATCATTTCACTCAAAAATTTTCTGAATTTTTCGAAAAAAATATCAGATTTAGAAGAATTGGGGAACAGGCTGAAATCAACGTTTCAAGTTTTATTTTTCGATTTTCACCATGAAGTTGAAGTAAAGAAACAAAATTACCATCATTTTTGAAAAATTCCGAAAATTTATGATCGAAACCTGTTTTAAATTTTTGTTTTCAGCATTTTTTAACACGTTAAATAAGAGCGAAGAATTTCGAGTCTAAAACGCTTAATCACGCGCGGAGCGCCTTTAATTAAGCCGCGCGATCTCTGCTAGGCGAGAAATCCTCTTTTCTATATATAAGTATTGAGAAGAACCAAAAAAAACTAATTAACGAAAACTCTGAGGCCAGATCTCGTACGATATTAGACGGAATGGCCAATATATATATATTGTAAACTGACAAATTATGTTGAATAAACGCCGTTAAATATAAAAAAATATTGATATTCCATTCCAGATTGGCATGAAGGATTGCAGTTGTGAAGATCATAGTGACCTCCAACATCTGCACAATGTTCCCCCGATGGCCTGGGAAGCGGTGAAAGACTCAGTCGAGAGATTTTCATCATCTAACGTTATGCCCTGGCTCCCAGTTACACCCCCAGACACCCCTAGCAGCATGGCCGAGACGGTAGTTTCAATGTCCCACTTACGACAGACGACTACACCTATTTTCGTCGACACAGCACTCAAGCATGATCACATCAGCGTCAATTGCGACGTCAGGTGATTTACCCTATTAATACCTCTATTAATAAATCCCGATAATTTGTTGAGATACGAATTAATGCATTTTCCGAATTACAGATACGCTAATGATGAACTCATCGTCGTTGAGAGATGGTATCCTCGTCAGAATACTTATGTTCTTGTCGTGAATTTGGGGAATGTGACGCAAGTGAAGGATTTATCATCACTTTATTACGATGGACGAGTTGTCAGTGGTCCTTCTAACAAATTGAATCAAAGTATTTACTTTCGGGAATTCGTCATTGCACCTGGCGAAGCATTTTTAATAAAACTCGAAAAATGACCCGTTATTTATATCTAAAATATTGATTTACATTGAAATCATGATTTTGCTGAACTGACAACACAATTTGTTACGATTGCACAGATCAATGATTTGCTCAATTTTTCCGTAATAATCTGATGATCAATACTGTTCGACACAGTGACAAAACAAAAGGTGACATTTTTATGATTATGATGCTGTGCTGATGCTCAATCAAGGGGACATTGGTTTTCATTTTTAATCTTTGCATTATATTTTTTTACTGATGAACATTTTGAAAGGTAAACGATTAACGAACCAACGAATATCTCGATACTTATCAGACTTTATTGTTCGATAAAATATCTGTATTTCTGATGAACCATTAATTTTTAATAGTTTATTATTACGAAATAAATTGAACTTGTTGATAACAAAACATGTGGTGTGATTTTTTTTTCTGAGTGAAAGCATTGTAATCATTTAAATATAAGTTTTGGATTTTCTATTCATTTTTCCACGAGATTCAGAATTTTCAATGACAAGATTTCCTGAAATTTCAGTGGATTTGGAACACAATACAAATTTTCGGAATTTGGCACAGAAAATTCAGATAAAATTTTTTAACAGTGTATTCATTAAAATTTGAGTCATCGATTAGTTTTTTTAATTTTTTCGATAATCGGTTGTTCCACGATAAGTAAAGAAAAATACTCTAAATTGATTGACTGATGGCCTAAAAAATTTGTTTGGGTGTCCGTTTGACCGAGTTCGAAGATGGAGGCGATAGCAGTAATCGTTATGTTGATTTATTCGAAAATTTTCAAAAATTTTGCATTTGTTGAAAATCAGAATTCCGGGGTTATCGTGGAATATCATGCTTCAAGTTAATTCAGTCATAGCTTAAAATGTTTGTTGTAATGCCATTGAGGCGAAGTTCAAAGATGATTACAATAGCTATGTTGGTTGATTTGATTTTTATGATTGTTGAAATTTTGAATTTTTCTTGAATTTCCCTGAAAGTGAACTTTCTAATGGTTTCTTCAAATGTGATGTTTCAAATTCATTTACGTATGTGTAAAAAAAATTTTTCTATTAACATTTTGTCAAAGGGCTGAGGGGAGAGATAGAACTGTAAAAAAGCCAATCGGTTGTATAGAAGAAAAGGGATAATAAGAATAATGATGTTCAGTAAAATATCAGTATTTCTCATGAACCATTAGTTTTCAATAGTTTATTATTACGGAAAAAATTGAACTTGTTGATATAAAAATATGTGGTGTGATTTGTTTCATGAAAAAACAGTTGGAAATGTTGGTAAAGGTGAATGGGAGTTGAGAAGTTTTCTCGCAAGTGCTTCTGACGGTATCAGTTTCTTTATAAAGGGGCCACCGAGGAATAACAGTTGTTCCCTCGAGCCGCACCGCGGAGCCACTTTCTGAGTTCTTTAGTAACTCTAATCTAGCTCTGAGGAAGGTCCCTGGATCCCCGACAGAGAGTGTCGTAGCATAAATGCTGCTAGCCTCCGCCGTCATCTCGATCTCGGATGGGACGTTGTGTGCGGTTGTTTCACGACTTCCATGCGTGACTGATCTTCGAGATGGGCGAGAGTGTATTGGTCAAAGTAAAGTAATGTGCGCATCGGTCGCCTGACCGATAACTCAACAGGGCCTTTTACGAGGAAACTTTTTTTTTATTTTTAGATTTACGATGTTATTCGGACAATTCTGAAAATCTTACGCTTTCCTTAAAGGGGAGACTACTATGAGGTTTAAAAGACGCGGGCGATTGGAGTGAGATTTCTCAAGCAATAGGTTGTCAGCCGGAAACTGTTATTTATAAACAAATGGTGATGATCAATCGATTGTAATTCGTTAGCAAGTGACTGTAATTCATCTCTTAACGTCTAAGAGTTGTTCAATTATTTATTAAATTAGGAAAACTAATGACGCATACAATTAGCCCGAATTTTTTTGTTTTAGACTCTATTTAATTTTTATTCACTCCAATCGATTGTAATTTGTTAGCAGGTAAATGCAATGCATTTGTAAACGTTTAAGAGTTACCCAATTAATTATTAAATTAGAAAAATTGGTTACGCGTACAATTAGCCGAATTTATTTTTTTTACATTTTTTTATATTTTTATTCACTCCAGTCGATTGGAAATCGTTTGTAGTATACTAATTTGATGTTTCTAATGTTCAAGAGTAGAAGGGTTGAGTTAAAGCAGCTAATTAAAATTTTCATCAGTTCACACTGTCCGATCGGCCTCTGACGTCATTGATGTCGTGGCATTCTAAGCTGCTTTTTTCCATTTTGGAGTGATTTTCTCGAGTGCAAATAAAAAAGTTTGCTTTACAAGAAACAAACGGGAGATTGGACAGAAAAATAATCAGGAATTGTAAAAAAGTAATCTCAAATTGCTACAACATCTGTACAACTGGATCTAACAGTTCGGACTAAGTGGAGAGTGGAAAATCATTTTGTTTCGGATTTTCTAATTACAATTACAATATTTGGTTCATCATCATACATGGCACCCCAAGCTTTTACTTCTATTTTCTGCATAATTCTGGAGGAGAAATAAATTCAGATTATGATGGGGGATTAGTTATCTGGAAATCTCCCAGAAGGGGCATAACTTAGACTTACGATGGTGGATAAGCAAGCAGAAGTCATTCAGAAATATTAGCAAAAGGTAAAGACGAGGTATTTTCTGAAGTTTGTGTTAATTTTTTTTTTATTAAATTAGAAAAACGAGTAAATAGGTTAGTCAATGAAAGAAATATATTAAAAGCATCTTTTCAGAGTTGAAAATTCTTTTTAATCATTTTTTTCAACATTTTGCTATACATTCGTAATTTTTAAGAAATAAAACCGTTATGATATCCATTGAATCTGAAATGTATTCCAGTATTGCATATGACGGGCCACAGTTGTGGTCCGGTCGTTCTTTACATGACGGATTCAAGAATTTTCCAAACATTTTAGTGTCGCGATGGAAATCGAGCTGTTAAATGGAAGCAATATTCACTGGAATAGAATGGACCAGAAGGTAAATTCAATTTTCACCGATTGACACTATACTTTGGTACTAATTCGACTAGGGAATTGCTTCCTGTTCATGTAAAAATTCATAAATACTTTGTCAACTTGTTTGTAACTTGAATTATTATTTTTTAGGTGATGAAAATTTCTCATCGAACGTCAATGATGGGATCCTTCTACCTGGCGTTTCTGATGGGTAACTATCGACAGCCACCCGTGCAAGTTAGGCACAGTTGATTTTTGGAAAATGTGATATTGTATTTGCTGGTGATTGTAATTTCGCATTTTTGTTTTGTTTACATTTGTAATATTGCTATATTAGTGAATGTTGGGCGTTGCATTATTCAGTTTTCTTTTTTTTCAAACTTACCAATGGATTGATTTTTTTAACATTTCTAACCAGTGTATTTTTTTTATGTACAAAATAAAAATCAAGGTGTTATATATTTGCATGACCTGAATGTTACACTTATTCTTTACTACATTGTATCACATATTCCGCATTTATCAACTAACGATTTGGGATTTAATTTTTTATTCGCCTGAAAATGTTACCATTTTTCATGGACATTGAAAATTTTTTTTTTTTTACTCTTCTGAAAAACTACATTTTAATTTTTCACGAGTATTGGGTTGGTTCCGCACAAAAATATAGATACGAGCGGTTTTCAAGAGAAATTTTCTAATTTTCGGCCACAAAAAACATGATTATTCTAGTGTAATATAATGGTAAAAAAATTACTTTTGTGTAAAATTTCGTAGGTTTCGTACTTCGCACCCAAAAAAATTATTTATTTCCTTATCTAAAAATATAAATTTCTGAAAATAAATTAATGAAATTTGGGAGAGTGCTGAGCATTGAGACGCATACACTCATTTTTTTTATTTCACAAATTTTCAAGAATCAGAGATTTTGTGGATTTTTTGCAAAAAATTTTTGTGTAAAACTATTTAAAGACAAAAGTAAACTAAAAAGGACATGTGGCTGAAAAATGTACGGAAAAAATGAAAACAAAAATTTGATTATACGTGTCTTGACACTTAGCACACCCTGAAAATTTTAATTAGAACGCCTCGTTAGAAAACTATATTTCAAATAAAAAATAGAAAATTACAATTTTTCGAGTGTGAAGTCGGACACCAATGAAATTCAACCCAAAAATAACTGTTGAAACTATTATAATAATGCGCTAGAGCAGTCTCGCGTATCTTTTTCTCAAAATTTTGGACGTTTTCCTTGAAAAGCTTTAAATGTATTTTTCGCGTAAAATCCACCCACACAATTTTTCAGGAAAAAAAAGTGAATAAGAATGCTGAAGGGTTAAGTCGACATAGTTTCATCCGACTTGAGAAAAAACATGAGACTTAACTTAGTTTATTTGCAAAAAAATTATAAAATATTGTTATCTGTTAATGTAAAAAAATTTTTTTTAAATCGACTTAACGTAGTTGACCACTTTGGTACTGAATTAATTTATTGATAAATATCTAGAGTATTGCATATTTAAATTGTACAGTTATTATAGAAACAGGCTCTTCAAAGAAAAAATATCGTCAAAAAAGTATGTTGAATGTGTTTAATGTTCTTTACGTGCCGATTATCGATTTTTAACATTAAATTTTTCCGCGCTTTTTTGTATCACAACAGTTGCACATGGTCGTTTCAAAACAATAAACATTAACCTCTAATTTTGTCAGTCCCCGTTAGATGATGATAAATATTACAAGTATTAATATGATAATGAAATTTAAAAGACTTTAAAGTGGAAGGGTATAAATAATTCGTATAAATATTGAACAAATTATAAACTTCGTTTGACTAATAATTCTATTTGCACTTTTTTAGGATTGACATTACGAAAGAAATATGCCTCCGGCTTCTCGTACTGCAGTACAGGATGCGATTTCGAGCCTGATAAAATTTGAAAGTCATTTCTCAAATGGAGAAATACCTGTTTATTCTCACTCAGTATGGAAGGAATTGGCCAAGGAACACAAGGGAGCTTGGAGTGCCCATAATTGGTACAACAACGTGAAGAAAAATCTCCGGGGAATATGGACCAAGGCATCTGAACACTGGAATTTCGATTGTGCCAAGAGTGACCAACTAGGAGACACGCTGAATTCAACATTGGGACAATTTGAGGCATCCTTCAAAATTGTGTTACGTGACGATAGGGATGGAGATTCGTGGTTTGAGTGTTTCCTCAGTTTGATAGAGTGGACAAGACTTTTTGAGCCCCTGAGAATGGATAATTTGGAAGGAAAAGTAAAATTCATGCTGCCTCCGGGTCAGTGGGGAAATGATTTAGATACGATTTTTTGGAGACAGAATAGATTGCCCTGTTCATATTTACTCGAAGGTGCTGAAGTTGACACATGTTCTTCTAGTTTTCTCAGAATGTCGGGTAATTGTAGAAATAAACACTGCCAAAGTGAATTTTATGCATATGCCAATATCAAACCTACAGCAGTTAATGATGAACTCCTTATTCGAGTGAGGACTCGAGACACTCGTGGGATCGAACATGAGAAAGTTCAACCTCATTTGGATGAAACGAGAAAACGAACAGTTCCTAAGCCAAAGCACAATAAACCGGCAGGAAAGCAGACGCGTCGCGTAACTACATCATGTTCAGATTCATCTTCACTATTAAAAAAAGAGCCCGGCAACGAAGATCTTGTAACACGAGTGTTTCATATGCAGTTTTCTTATCCTTTCATGGGATCCATTCACGATGTTTCGTACGATCCGTATTATACATTCTATGCACTTCCGTCTCAATTATTTGTATACAAAAGACATCATGCATCTACGCGAAGCTCAGCCATCAGCATTGGTGTCCTTAATAAGTGTGCTCAAGAGTTACATCGTCCAGAGGGACTTCAGTCATACTCAATTTCAATGTATACCATCGTCATTAAATTCGAAGGTGAACTATTCCCAGTTTATCAGATGTTGTGTGAGAATAAGCGAATGGAAACTCGGGAGTTTGGGATGAAACGGTGGCTTCGTAGAGTGCAGTCTAAACCAAAGCAAGTATTCGTAGGCTTATCACCTAGTCTGTTGAGTGTATGTACACAAAGTATTAATGATATTTCTCTCGAACGATATATTGACGAGGTTTTTCGAGCGATCGTTGAGGAGCTAGATCTACGTTGTAGTTTGGCCGTCTTAAAAGTCGACGTGAAAGATTTGATTGGAGCAGTACTTGGATGGCCATGTTTAAAATCTGTTGATTCGTCTCATATTCGCCACTTTTATTTAAAATGGATTGTCGTCCTGGCAAAATGTCCAACCATCACCGAATTCAAGGAAGTTTTCTCACTCGTCTGTATTGTCAGTCTCCACAACTATAGAGATTCAATCCTTAATTCACCACTTGCCTCTACGCCAGACTGTGCAAGAAAAAAACTGGCGAATTATTTCGTGGATAAAAATTTTTCCATCGACATGGATCTTACAAAATGGGGAGTGAAAATTATTTAGAGATCGACGACTGCAAAGATAAAAATTTTATAAAGTTTACGAAAATGAGTACATTTCTTGAGAACGTGATTCATGAATTACGGAAGACTGGTGAGATTCCTCAGACTCTCAACACACTGCGCTCTTCTGATACCTCAAAAATTGTAATTTTCGTTGAAGAAATAGTAATCTCTTGTCTACGAATCCAACACAGAGGAGAGGATTTAAGTGCCTACTTCCTTCCAACAATCATGAATGATCTCTTCCAATTGGCAATCCAGTTTCCAATATGAACATCTGTAAATCCTTGAGGAAAATTACGCCTGGAATCCACGAATCATTCACGAGAGTATGTTGAGACTTTGAGGAAACGACTTGAGGGAAAACGAAGTCATCTCCTTGAAATCGATAAATTGCTGCAATTCCATCTTTCTGATCTGAAAAAAAATGGTTTAGTGAGTGCAACGGAGAAACTGGCATCTGACGATATTAAATTCTCTGGATTTGTTCATACAGATTCCACAAATCAGGAGAGACATCTGTCAGAGCTCCGTACTCATCCATATTCTCATAAAAATTCTTCTAAAGTTAATCATGGTACCTTAAATGATGAATTAGATAATAATTTGAATGAAGACGTATCAATCGATAAAGATGGTAATAATAATAATTTGAATGATCAATTATTGAAATTTATCGGACAAGGAAAACAATCCAACTCTAAATTCTTTAGAAGTGTTTCTGAAATCAAATTAATTAATAGAGTTGGTGAACAGAAATCGGGCACTCCAAGAGTTGTATTTCTTAAAAATATTCATCTTTGCCCACCAGTTGATTTAGATGGCGAAATGTATTTCGGTCATAACAGCTGCGCTTTCGATTGTGTTTCTCGTGTTTTGGTCACCGCCGCAGTGGATGATCCTCACTACTTGGAATTTGTAAAACACTCAACCGATTTTGGAATGCGCTATGTCAGCCTTTTTTTCACTGATGCAGCAGCCTCATTTCTGAATAAGGAACGTACTCGATTGTTCAGATTGATCAGTAGAATGAAATTTTTCTATAAAACTTATTTTATTGAGCTATTTTCTATAGTATTTCTTTGTATGAAATTTTCCAATATTTTTGATTTAATTTTCTTAATAAAAAAAAAGGAAAAGTAGTATGAACAAACTTGGAAATTTTCAGTCGAGGAAATTTTATAGAAAATATGTTAAAATAAGTTTTACAGAAGAGTATAATTCTATTGAATTTTTCTACAAAATATTTTCTGTTAAACATTTCAATAGAAGCAGCCAAAAAAATTGAAAATTACAAAGAAATCCAATGGAATTTTCTAAGGAATTCGCCAAGATTAGAATTTTTTTATTCGTAATCTACTCATAATTATCAAAATGTATAGCCAAGATGAAGTTTGATGGGATTCCAAATGTTCATTTCAGATTGGCAGGTGTTGTTGATTATCAGTCTCAACATTTCATCGCATATTGTCGAAGATTGACGGGACATTGGGAGCTCTACAATAATCTCAGACCAAAGATCAGTACCTGCCTTGCTACAACCGAAATAACACCACAATGTGCCATTTATATCCTCCAAACTTTTGAGTGAAGGTGTTATGAGAAATAATTGCCAAACGACGCACGAAAGATCCCCTCGCTGTCTCGATGAAGCCAGAAGTGGGACCGATCCCTCAACGGGCCAGACACTAAACTCAAGCAAATATTCAATGCACTATGTGAAAAATTGTCCCTGTACTTTTGACGATACTTCTGAGCCTTCAATCCCCTTCTTCAAATAATTTTTTTCAATTTAATTGACGTTAGTCGAAGCAGATTACTCGAGAAACAACATGGAATTATCATGTCTACTCAGTTGAAGGCTATGGCGCCCCACCCCCTCGATCAGTTTATTTTCCCGTTACCTCTCATTTGCGATTGTATTACTCATTTTATAATGCTCATCTGTATATTGTATCGTAGTTTCTTAATAACAATTGAAGAGAGACATAGATTGAGATAATGGTAAAGGGTGAATACAGATGAAGATTTTTTTTTATCCGTGATGCAGAATTCCGGAGTTTTAAAAATTAAAAAACTTAATGCAATTTTCACTCACCTATTGTAATTTTCAAGTGTATTAGAAGACGGCAACGAACTTCAAATGACTGATATTTTTATTGTACCAGTGGATGCTTCAAGACTGATAGATAAGAGAGAAAAAAACGTTGAACGAACTTTTCACTTCTACTCGATTCCGAAATTTTCAAGAATTTCTAGGTGAATTGAATATCGTGGAAGATTCTTGAAAATCACACTCTCGTTTTATAGATTTCTGCTTGTTCTAGAAGACTAAATAAGTCGAATAGTCTTGGAAAAAATGTAACCCACATAGCTAGTTCTCACTGTGAAACATACAATCCAGAAAATTGAAAATCTGTTTGACGTTATACTTTCATGTTCCATTGAAATTGTTAGAATTGTTCATGCGTCAAAAAATGCGTTTTCTGTAGCATTACAAAATGTTTTTTTATTGGTTTAAAAAATGTTAGACATATATTTATAAGAAAAAATATTTTATTAAGAGTCATTACGTTATTAACATGGATGTTAAGATAATGAAGAGTTTTTGCAATAAAGACTAAATAGGAAAGTAGCACATCAGAGGTGAATTAATTTGAAAACCTATTAACGCTATGCTAAAATAAATATGTTTGAATGAACAGAATTGTTTTACAAATGGCAGTTCTAAAAAAAAATATGTTAATCGTCACAGAAGAAAATAATCCTCAATCCTATAATCAATTTACCTACAGAAAACTGTTTCTCAATGCTGAAACTCTTAATAATAACTGAAGAAAAAAAAGCAGACTTAACGAGTCATTAATCTTGTAAATCATGGTTTCTTGTTCAGTATTCATAATCAATAATAGCTCTAATAAAATTCGCCTGGTATCTGCCAGATATTCGATATCAGAACTAATCTTCACATAGTTAATTCAACACGTATACATCTGTACACATCACTAATTCGACACAAGGAAAAGTCAACTCACAAAGAGGAAGTCAATATGTTGATTAGTTATTGTAGTAATTAGGGGAGTGGGAGATATTTGTGTGAAAGTGAAATTTTTAGATGATTCCGGCGTCCTAAAAGTCTATTCTATCAATCATTTTGATAACAAATAATTCAAGAAAAAAACTGTTGAAATCATTTTCTTTTAATAGAGTTTCCGTGGAGACATTTTTCTCCAAAATTATTAATCTCCGAAATAATTTTATAATTAATTCATGCGAAGACATTGCAATGCATTTTTAAAAAATTGAATTCAATCAAAAATTGAATTTTCATTGAAAAATGTCAAAATAATTATATAATTAATTCACGGGAAAAGATTTCAGTTAAAACTAAAAAATTGCTTTATGGAAAAATAAATAAATATGAAAAATGTGTTTTTAAAAAAATTATCTATTAATATATTTCAATTCTCAAAATCACGTGCGGCTTCTTATCCTCAACATATTCAAAACTACGTTTTTTAATTATGATATTGAGCAACTATATCTGGCGTGTTGCAATTGAATTTGATTTTATTGAATTTTCTTTTTTATTGAACTTGGTGGGTATTGAGTTGTTATGTATTAAATGTGTGTATTGAGATTACTTTGTGTTGATTAGTCATGGAATCATATTCTCGCAACCCATTATTGGCTCCCCCGTGTTTATCGGAAATTTTTAGCCTCATGCTGGAGCATCTGGTCGGATAAATGTTGTGGACACACTCCCCCCTCCGGGATTTTGAGCCGTTTCAAATTCCTGCCAAACTTTACTCTCATAATTACATGTGTGACTGGAAAATGATTCTGGATTGATAAACATATAACAACTACCACATATATAGCTGAAATCCTCATTTACAGTCTAATTCTCGTCAATATTTCTGTTCTCAGGAGTATCCTCAGGACACGGTTGAGAAGTATGAACTCCCTCTTCATTCAATTCATTTTCATCTGGTCCTTCATTGAATGAAGCAAAAGATTTTGATTCACCATGTTCAGTCTCGAATTCTCCATAATCTTGGGTGAATATCATCGAGCCCGCTTTCCCTCCCCAATTTTCTTGAGAAAACAGATCTGAATCTTCAAGGATGGACTTCGAAGAATCACTGGCAGCAACCAGTGGGGGTTTTCTCTTTCTCGTTACGGCTATTTTTTTTCTCAAAGCATGAGGCAAGGAATTACCACTTGTGATGAATTTCAGGAGCTTCGATTCTACTGTATGTGTGGCTCCACTCACATCATTAAGGTGTTTCCTCATAAAATGTTCCAAGCTGATTCTCCTTGAACGATTTTCCAATACTTGGCCCTTCAAGTCTTGGAAATTTTTCTCACTATAGCTAGATGAAGCATACCCAACAACGACTGGAATTCCCACCGCAGTCCATAGCACGAACTCTTTTCCGAGATCCACCAGATTTTTAATAAATTTAGGAACATAGTATGCATTTATATTAATGCCTTCTTTCTCAACAATTTTTACTCGCTCAAAAAGTCCTTTGATCAACGTCCCCAAAACGACTGGAACATCTGTTGTTTCATCAGATTCTGATCCGTCAACGCTTACAGAAGGAATCTTCTTCTCCACCTCCTCCTCCTCCGTCCTATCTTCAGTTGCTGGTAAATACTCCTCAATTTTGACCTTGCGAACAGACATAAAACTTTCCAATTTTTCTTAGGCTTCTCTCACAGTCATCAAATTTTGTAAACGTACCACGGTGTCTTCATGGGGGTGAAAGCCGACTGCACACGTAAGCATGAAAATTTCTCGAAAATCTTCTTAGTGCTAGCAGTCCACCATTAATGACATACAACGTACAAAGAAATCTCTAACCCGCGGTCATTTGATTGCCTTTGTGCTATCCCATTTGCAAACTAAGTGAATTAAATGCGCAACATCGATTCTCAAAAATGTTGATATTTTGCTCTCTATATTTTTACAGTTTCCACAGATCGACGAGAAGATGACCTCCATGTATTCTTTGGTTGTCAGATTGTTAAATGCTTTAGAGCAAGCGCACACAAGGGTGCGACAGTAATCAGTTGTACAATATTTAGGCTTCTTGTGTACTAAGGATAACCATCCCCTCAACCAGAAGGTAAAAGTCTCAGTTTCCTGCGATTCAGCCAACATCTGATAAACAGAAGTTATCGATTTATCGAAATGAATGACGATACAGTGGAGAAAAATGTGGGCTGACTTGAGATCGACCTAGTGGACGCACAAGATTCTTTGTTAAACTGCCAGTACCGTCAATACTAATGGACGACCAGTCTTGCGTGACATCACGATATTGATTATAGAGTGATATTTGACGAGGGAGTCCATAAAATATGTACATAGGGTTGTATCCAATCGCATTGATTGATCCTTTATATGGTCTTTCTAACTGTAATTCATAAATACACTGGATACAATCCTTGCCATTTTTTCCCTTGATCCCCAATTCTCTATTAATATGTTCCCTACGTGCCTGACGAAAAACATCAGCATTGGCCAAAACAGGTCCCTCGTTATAGCCTCGTCTCATATTTTCCCTTTTCAGTCGCTTGAGCATGTTTGAAGAGCCCTCAGCATAACTCTGTTTACCGAACTCTTTTCTCTTTTCACCATTCAGACACCGCTTCACATCTTCATGATTTTCGCGCAAAGTATTACGCGTTCTGACGCGGATAACAATCTCTTCATCCTTTTCTGAGGGTTCTTTATCGAGATATCCATGAAACTGATTGTCGCACTCTTTTCCTCGGCAGTATCCCTCGATTTTTAGATAATGTTTGCTCATAGTTGACGTACTTATTTCACTTCTCAAGAATGAATATGCACATGGTAACAGCCACTGCTTGTAAAATTGATCTGCAATGGTACTAGTCCAGACAAACGGGTGGAGTGTGTTTGATGAGGAATCAGAACCTTTAATGTGAAGCCATTGACTACGTGTTAATGTCAGGTCGAACCATAATTCTCCTTCTTCTGTTTCTGAGTCAGACATATGGAACGAGACCTCATCTTCTCCAGAAGAACAATCTTTCACTACACTGGGTTGGATCACTGGGATATCGATATTCATGTCCTGTCTCGCCTGCGATAAGATCCCTCTCCTATTCTCTCCAACACTATTGAACCAATTGAGACGACTCCACAGCCCATTACACTCATTAGTCAAATCGTCCCAAACAGGAGATGACCACCCAGGTAATTGTGGAACGCCAAAGTGCTCAATATATTTTTTCGGTGCAGCGACCGCAGTCTCTCGAGGAAGACGACATGAGGGAGGCATTGTGTTGATGACAATTGCCTCATCTGGATTAAAAGAAGAATTCGAATTGCAATAAATAATTGAGATCACAATTAATGTTCTATTTCGAAAAAATAGGAGTTGATAAAATGATCTTAGCAATTCTTCTGAGATATTCGTACTCATAGATGGAAATTCGGTTCATTTTCAGCCCGAAAACACAGCAGAAATATCAAAACTCCTGAGAATAATAATTTATATCTCACATATTCTTAATTTTCATAATGTCACAAAAAGGATCACTGCACTTACTTGTTATTGAGTAGTGACTAGCTGTACAGATATAGGACTCTAATTAAAGAAAATGAGTACATAAAAAAATTGCAAAACTGCACGATTAAAAGGTTAGAATGCCATGAATGACGTCAGAGGACAATCAGATGGCGAGCACCTGATGGAAATTTTAATTAATTGTTTTGACAAAAAATCCACCACTCTTAAACGTTAAAGACATCAAATTCATATACTACAAACAATTTACAATCGATTGGAGTAAAGAAAAATCAAATAGAGTGTAAAAAAAGAAAATTTCGGCCAATTATATGCCACATTGGTTTTTATAATTTAATGGGCGCGTTTCGCAATCGACGTAGTAGCAGTAGCAGTACTGCAACCCTATCTAATTTTGCTTTACTGCAGCTACGGTAGTTGATTCCGAAACGCACCCAATAATTAATTACGTAACTCTTAATTGTGAAGAGATGCATTACATTCACCTGCTAACAAATTACAATCGATTGGAGTGAATAAAAATCAAATAGAGTGCAAAATAAAAAAAATTCCGGCTAATTGTATGCGTCATTAATTTTTCTAATTTAATAACTAATTGAATAACTCTTAGACGTTAAGAGATGTATCACAGTCACCTGCTAACGAATTACAATCGATTGATCATCACCATTTGTTTATAAATAATAGTTTCCGGCTGACAACCTATTGCTGATTTCTCATGCATTGAAGATCAATTATTTATATGTAAAAACGAATAATTAGTGCAAAAAAATTAATTGTTTATTGGTCGTTTGCCAGGACCTTCAATTTTTGAGCTGCATAGGTTTTTTTCAAAATTTTTGAAAAAATGTGTACAGTAATAATTGCGAGTTACTTTTTTGAAATTCGACTCCTACACAGTAACACGGCTAATTTCCTTTTGTTTAACCCTTCAGAACTCGCGCTCAGCCACCGACCTTCGTTACTCGCGTGGTGAGCGCTGCGCCGCCCGTGCTTTCAGTAACGCAGCGTTGTCACGTTCATAGGTACGCGCCGAGCGTGCGGCGAGCGGAAAACAGCAACAGCGGAATTG